TTAATGATCCTCACTTCGCCGTGGAAATCTCCTTAATTTTATTTAATATTCTATTTGGTATTATTATATTTGTATGGTTATTATAATTTGTACATCTTTAGTGAACTGTAATTCCATTTGTCTTACTTAACTAATCGGTAGTATTTAAAAACACCAATATTGTTAATGACGACTATTCTAGAATATTTTCATGTATACAAACATATGTACATAACTGTAGAGTTATAAGGGGAAATTATCGAAAAGGATATTCTTTGCTCAATTTTTTTTGGCTTTTTCTCTATATCTGAATGAATATTTTCGCTATTATGTATTTATGTCAATTCGTGACATAGCACTACTGTCAATCAATGAGACTTTGATGAACAGGCACTTCACCTTGACGTGGTAGACCCCGCTGGCTACGATTTCTTATCAGACCTTCAGGAAATCCATTCAGCAGCTGATAATGAGCTGGTGATCAATATATAGATGACGGATTTTTGTATAGATATGAACTAATTTCAATGTAGATTTTCAAGCATTGGTTTGGTAGGGAATTTGTTTGATTGCATGGAGGATTTAATCATGAGCTGACATCAGTTAGAGAACCACTGGAAAACCTGGGAGTACTGGACAGCTGTTTCGTCAGCCTAGTTTGGGACACTTCAGCAGTACACATCCACCGGGGTTCGAACCCAGGACCTCCTGGTTACAAGGCGAGCTCGTAGACCATTGAGCCACTGGGACCCGATCCAATGGTCCTTGAATTCTAACTTCTGCCAGTTCACGACATAGCGCGACCACTTCGCAATGTCTTCTTCGATGACTTACTGCCTCATCTTCAACCTGCTGTACCCTACTGGTCGTGAAATGGCAGAAGTTAGAATTCAAGGACCATTGGATTGGGTCCCAGTGGCTCAATGGTCTACGAGCTCGCCTTGTAACCAGAAGAACTGGGAATCAAATCCTGGTGGATGCGTACAGCTGAAGAGTCCCAAACTAGGACGAAACAGCTGTCCAGTACTTTCTGGCAGGATTTCCAATGGTTCTTTAACCAATGTAAGCTCATGATGAAATCCTCCATGCAATATAGATTTTGTTACGAACTATAGAGAAAATAAAAAGGAGAATGTTTACATAGGAAATGAGACATACAAAAAACCCCGGGAAGTAAACATATTAGTCTGCAGTTCATTATTGGCTACTAGATGAAGTCTGTGAAGTCAGTGGGATCCAACATGTCTAGGTGAAATTGATGTATGGCGTGTGCTTTATGAACACAGACTGATAGGAAGCGGCTAAAATTGAATTCAACATTTTAGCTGTAAAGGTGGTAGAAGTCAAATTATCGTCAAATGGTCTTAAACTGAATCCTCCTAAATGCCAGACTGTTGATTTCAGTTTCCGATAAAATAGAAAGTTAAATGAAGCTGTTTTAATTCCTATGACCACTGCAAAATTGATGATACTGATATAGAAACTAAGTCTGACGTTAAGTATCTTGGATTAATTCTTTCTTCTGATCAATCCTGGTATTCACACTTCTTAGCGATTTCTAAAAGAATATTTCGCCTGACTTTTTGCATTAAGAAGTTAAGGCACTCAGACATAGCCCAACCACTCCTCTTACAGTATGTCAACTCGTGCATCTTACCTATTTCTTTACTGTTCACCCTTGCTTATTCTTTCCTGGATTGCTTAAAAGAGACTATGTCATACTTCGTAGAAGTCTGAAGACTGTCAGTAGGACGAGTGGTTTCCAATTGGGCCATATCGTTGACATCGTCATTGATAGGCACTTGATGTCATGCAACAAATTTGGCAAACGAAATTTGTCAGACTGTGAGCACCGAATCTACCTGCAGCTCCAACCTTGTATCTCCTCAAGTAAAACAAGAAGTCTTTTCAGAAGACTTTATGCACATACGTCTAAGTATAAAAATCCCACTATACCATATTTGGCACGTATTTTATGTGATGAAAATAGCGCATTACTAAATAAACTATTTCCTCCATCCTTACAATACCAAACTTTATTGTTATTGTATTTCTTATATTTATAATCCTCTCAATTTTTTTGTTTTTGTTTATTTTTTCATAAGTGTGAACATCATTTAAGCTGTGTGAATAATTGTTACTTTTGTATTTCCCCCCACACCATACATACTGTATCAACAAAATATTAGATTCAATACTCTATAACATGCTAAAATTTCCAAAATGAATCGACAATAATGTTTGAAACAAAATCACTATTATTATTATATTTAATATTCTCATTTCGTACTTCGAATATTTTTGACTTTATATGGTAAATGTGGACAAATTCCTCTGGATTTTATTTTAATTTTATTTATATTTTAAGTAAATCAGATGCAATATTGTGATAAATGCTGAGAATTCAATTCTGTATTATAAGTACTGTTTTTGGAATAAAGCAGATTATTATTATTATTTATTCCTCAAATATGGATCTAGTTTACGTTGTGAACATGAAATAACCTTAATTGATGGATGGTGACTAGCAGTGGAATCCAGGACAAGGCGCGTCTCGTCCTATTTGGGACTCGTCATCTGCATTTCTCAGTGAGTGATGATGTTCCCACCGAGGCTGGAACCCAATGCCTTTAGTTTCAAACGCCAAAGCTTTATCCAATAGACCACTTGGGCCACGAGAGCCACCTCTTGTGCAACGGGTCATATTGATTTAATTTTTGATTTTCCCGTCGATTGATTGGGCCGAAGTGCTCGGTCTCGAAGCAGCTGCACAAGAAGCCGACCTGAGAATGAGCACTTTGGTCCGATCAGTCGACGGGAAAATCAAAAATTCAATTAAATGAAATAACCTTATTGGACAATTTGTTTAACCTTGGGCTAATAACCAGTCAATCAGAACACTTTATTCTCCTCTAACGTTGGTAAGAATGTATATTCCCACTAAATGTAGCATCGTAGTCCGTTGCTATGGTGGTTTAATGATAAGATACATATTTTTGTTTGTATACTCATTCATGAATGCAATTTTGCATTAAAATCTTTTTTCTTCTGACGTACATATTATCAGTGGCATTATATTTTTGAACTGCGTTACATTTGCCGCACTTTTATCAGACATTGTCGCTTGATATACAGTTGGTGGATGGTGGATAGCAGTGGAATCCAGGATAACGCGCATTTCATCCTATTTCGGACTCGTCAGCTGGATGTACCTGTATTTCTCAGTGAGTGATGATGTTACCACCGAGGCTAGAACCCAGTGCCCATAGTTTCAAACGCCAAAGCGTTATGCACTAGACTACTCGGGCCACGAGAGCCACTATACTAATTAAATGCCCAGACATCGTCGAAGCATCTGCACAAGAAGCCGACATGTCAACCTGAGACCAAGCACTTCCGTCCAGTCAATCGACGGGAAAATCAAAATAATTCAATTCAATAATGTCGCTTGATGTTGATATCTTCGCAATGCAATCGAATAAGTGGGGCACTAAGTTCAAATGTTGAACTTAAATTATATTGAATTCTCATGAAATCATGATGGTGGTATATTTTGGCGTATTTACTAAAAAACATCCAAGTATCCAGCGGATAATAAAATTAGATGGTGTCACCACTTCAAAAAATGGATATGCCACATATAACTGCTCATAAATGATCTTTTAAAAAGTCTGTTATCTTCTGTCATTAGAGATGCTTATTGAAAGCATTGATTGTTGGCGGTAGTGATGATATAACAGAAGAATTCACAGGTCATTGAGTTCAAATCCATGTGTGGTTGAATGTTCAACGAACTTGACGCTGTAACCTGAAAGTCCTCTCTCTATTCAACTCTTGGTAGAGTTATTTATGCGAGCTGATGAAGAGTCCCAAGACAGGACGAAACAACTGTCCCCTACAGATAACCTGCAATATATAAGCAATTATCTCAAAATAAATAATCGATATATATATAATTTATATTTTTATTTGTTCTTTTTTTAACAAAAATATCAATCTTTGCTTAAAATTACTAAAATTATACATCAATAATAGGAATATTAGTAACAATAGTGATAATAATGATAATAGTAATAATGATAGAGAAATCAGATAGATTTAAACTCAATTTTCTTTTATTGAAATGAATAATATTTGGATTAGGCATGCAGTTGGATGGATGTTGGATGGCGAGGTGTGTGTGTGGGGGGGGGTGAGGCGCATGTGGAAGTTGGATCCACAATGGACTGTGTTAAGGCTTCAAGTGGGCCAGTAGAAAGTGCGATTTCATTACAAACACAGAGGTAGTAGTAGAAGTGATTTCATCAGTTGGAACAAGTCAACTCCTCAAAGTAGGACAAAGAAGTTGAAGATACTAACGAACAAACTTCAGTTGAAGGCATGTTGGTGGTGGTGATGTGTGGTGACAAGCATACAATCGAGACTCGGTAAGTTGTTATTACAGATTTCTCTCACTCCATATGTCTTCTATCTCACTCACTCATTCATTCACTCAATCACTGTTTTCCCTTCTTCACAAAAGGCGATAACCAATTAAATATTCACAGTAGGAAATAGAACTCTACATATAGCATAGGATGAATATTACAACATGTGATGAATAGCAATCATGTGAAGAAAAATCAACAACTATTGTATGAATTATACACAAAAATGAGAGCGAATATAGACACACATGAGAAGGGAGATATACAGACGGATAATAGATAGATAGACAGACAAACATCATCATTGCTTATACCCGCGGTACAATAGCAGACAGCGATAACCAATCAATGAAGAGCGAGTACAATAGGATCATATTTGAAATATCTTTTTTGTTGTGGTTGATGTTATTTAATTCAAGGCGGCACACAAAGTTTATCCTTAGAGAAACAGTCATCTAATTTGTGTTTTTACTGTTACGGGTTTGGGCATAGTTTCAAATGACTACTGAGAAACCAATAGAGAGAGAGAGAGAGAATAAAATGAAGAAGTCTCTGAAGGGAATATATATTCGTTTCTCACTGACCCGACGATAGTTAACAGGATTTGTCTACTGATTCTGTTGTTACTGTTACTGTTGTTGTTGTTGTCGTCGTGGTTCCTTGTGGTTGTTCTTGGTCTGACGGTGATAGTGCTGAGGATAATGAGGATGAAGGTGGTGGTGATGGTAATGACAGAGCCATTACAGCCAATTCTTCTTCCTCTTCTTTTTGTTCAATTATTGGACTAGGATATGATGGATGAACAGTTGCAGAATTATTGATTATTTGTCCATCATTATTATTAATATTATTATTACTATTATCGTCGTCGTCATCATCATCGTCCAGTTGCTCAACTGTTGGTGACAACGGTCTATTATCAATTATACCATTCGCATCATTATTGGCTAGTAAACACGTCTCGTCGATGAATTCAATTTTACCATCTAAATTTATATCATCAGTTAATGATTCCAGTTGGATAGGCGATTCAAGACTTGATTGCATTCCTGAGGATTCATGGGCTACTGAATCAAAGTCTAAGTCTAAATCAGGATCAACAGCTTCTTCTTCAATAACTACATGAGACAAAAAATCCCCCATATCTTCATGACTGATTAATCCAGCTTGTAGGGTATGACTACCACTACCGGGAATGTTGCCTTCGTCGATTCGATCAGAGAGTAGAACACCTTCAGACTGTGAAAATTAAATCAAAAGAAACAATAAGCTTGTGGGCGAATATGCAAAACAAAAGATGAAAATATAATATACATAAAATTTATTTATGGTGTGATCGGCACTACCTAGTAGGCCAAACTGATGATATCCAGCTATCGATTAAGGGGCGTGTGTACTGTTCAGTAGTTCCCTCTGTCCTGCTTTATGGATGTGGGCGAGATATGGCCATTGAAAATGGAAGACATGGAAAGCCTCGCTAGCTATCTTTGGTCATAGGTGTCTGCATTCTCTCTCTCATATTAGGTGGTCTAATAGGGTGAGTAATATTGAGGTTAGACTTCGGTCGAGTGCTAGGTAACAAGGGGAAATCAATCGACGAAGTTGTGAAGTTACATCGATTGAGAGAGGTGGTTATGACATGTGTTACGTATGCATGTCTACCCGTCGCCTTCCTCGACAACGGCCAATGTTAGCTGACATAGGATATATCAGGTTGGAAGAGAGAAGGATAGTGGTAGTCAAACCAAAATATGACATCAGTTGGTGAAATCCTTAACAGTTTGTTTGAACGACGTAAAGAGATGTAAACTGTTTGGTTGGAGTCTTAAGGATAGTAGGAACCAATGGCAGGAGATAACTGATGATACGACCCGAAATTGTTGTCAATGGTGGAGATGCATTCATTCTTCTGTATTCGTCGGGGGCATAGTGGTTAGGACTCTCACCAACCATGCACGTGGTCCGGGGTTCGATCCCCTGCTGACGCACACCTGGTATCAATGATCGGGCCGCAAAATTTGGGCTACCGATATCACATGCAGAAAATTCCATACTTGTACCGAAAATACGGTGTGGAATCAAGCTGTAATCAAAAATAAAAAAATATCTCTTTACTGTCTTCTCTTGCTTTGTGTGCTACAGGGAGGGAGTGTAGTAACTCGAACAGGTGCATTCTTGTGCAAAGTTTCATGTTGAAACCAGTAGGTTAGCCAGTTCACAATAACTACTCTTATCGTTGGCCACGATATTAATCACCACCGAGATGCTAAAAGAAGAGAGAAGGCAGACTCGTTGATAACAGAACTTCCACTGTCTCAAACAACAGTTAGAAGAGTTTAAAGAGATCCCACCGGAATGTATTAGTTTTAAATTACCTCGACAACCACTCAAGAGTGAGGAGAAGTTAACGACCAATGAGTGTTGTCAGCCCTCACAAAGTGTGGGAAATATAAAAAGTGATGTGATTGCGCGATAACTGCGAAATACAACCACTTTAAGCTTATAAGTAAGTGTAACAGCTTAATCAATGAGTTATATAAGTTATAGCGAAACAAATCCATCGTGCTTTTCTTTCCACCTGTTTGAAGGAGTAGAATACAAGCGGTCTGTTACGACTTGGATTTTCTCATGCTTACAGGAACACCGTGATCATATCAGACCTTACGTTTGACTGTATTAGTAAAGGTGTTTTATCGGATTTTGTATATATTTTTTTCTACACAGCCGGAATATCTACTGTCACACTTGCTATAACATGCGCGAAAACACCTCGTCATTTTTTAATTTGAGCGCCTGTATATGTAATTTTAGAGCATTTAAACAAACGAATATAGAAAATCATTCAAGGTTTCAATTTCATTTAAAAATTATTATTGATTCACTTACATCCCAGTTGGCGGTTTTTTGATTTGAAATAAGTTTAACACTTTTAGAATTTGAATGTTTTATATGACGAAAAGTTGTACTACTGCCACTAATACTTTTACTCTTACTATTGCTGCTGTTATTATTTGAAGAAGAAGCAGCAACATGATGTGATTTATTCGATATATAAGATACCGACAATTTACGTAATCGTTTTATCATAGTAGCTTGAAGTTCAATACGTTCAGCATTTTCAGCTTCTTGAAGTCCTAATTGAATATTTAGATCATCATCTTCATTCATTATGCCTTCTTCTTCTTCTTCGTCTTCGTCGTCGTCGTCATCATCATCACCATCATCATGAGGATGATGATGATGATGGCGATCTTGTATTTCATCGATTTCACCAACATATTCTCCATGGATAACATCAACAATATTGTCAGTGTCATTGTAAATGTCATTAACATTATCATCGTGAACATTATTACTATGATCTGCTAGGCGAATAATATCTTCACTGTTCATTTGTAGATTATTTAATAAATAGTGTAGATCTGATGAATTCATTTGATCTGTGTGTGAGAAGAGATCAGAATTAGCTGGGAAATTCGAATTGGGATCATAATTTTTGTGATTATGATTATGTCGATGATGATGGGAGTGATGTTTGCTTGGAATACTTGGTGAGATTTCTGACCAGCAAGTTTTAAAATCATAAAATAAATTTAGTATAAAACATATTAGAAATTGATTTGATTTAATCAAATAATCATTAAAAACACAAACAAATCAATAAATATAAACTACTCCAAAAAAAAAACACACACGGAATACTAATTTTGTCAATTGAGTTTTTGGGGATTTCAATGAGTTCAAGGAAGTTATCATTCCATTGGGTTCTAAGTGGAATATAGGGCTTCAAGAGCACATTCCCGTTTAGTTCTATTTTCTGCTGTCCTCTTTAGCTTGGATCGCGATTGTCCATAGCCTCTCATCTCCCCTACGTCACCTTCGGACCAATGTCCAACTCACTGTTTCCCATTCGAGTTCTACTCGACCGTTGTGGCCTGCATTGTGCTCGATGTCACTCGATGGTCTCCCCCAGGGTGTGTTCCCAATCCATCTCCATTTCCGCCTACATATTTGTTGGGCGATCGGCTCTTGGTGCGTTTGTTGCCAACCAGAATTTTTTCTGTTAGTAGTTCTTTCTGGTTGGTCGGCCATTTGATCTTCAGAATGGAGTGAAGGCAGCTGTGTTCATGAAAGTCTGCAGCAGCCTGTTGGAAATGCTTTTCGTGACAAGTGCCATGTTTCTGAGTCATATAGAAGAACTGACTAACTTCACTGAGATTTGTGTTAAAAATCCAAATCTTGTTCTTTATGCTGGCTGAATGAAGTAGACGATTTCACAAGCTAGCTTCAATTCCCCGGCCAACGGATGCCTGCTTAAACCTCGTCTAGTTTGTTAACTGGTGGCAAGGACAGGAAAAAAAAGGGAAGCTGGCAACCCCATCCCCTAAAATCTACGCCTTCACTAATATAACTTTGAAGCTTGTATCCGTATGTTCTATTCAGAACTCAAGAGATGAAAGTAGATATGAAGAGATTAGGTATCTTTGATGGATATTAAGAGATTAAACAGTAATTTAGTCAGACAGATTCGGCACAATGGATACTGATGGTTATTTAAGCTTACTACCAAATTGCTTATATCACCACTAGTATTATCAGACAGTGGTAAACGATACTGTACAAATTCAACTCACCTTCATCAGAAGACTTTGTATTGGCATGCAAAGCTGCAATCGATTGACTTCGTATTGTTGTGTTGTTGTCTACTGTTGACAACTGGTGTATTACACGTTTTTCCTTGGAAGTTAATGGGTCAGATTTTGCTTCGACTGTTGACATTTTAGCTGTTGGAATGACAGCCTTACCTTTGTTATCCCTTGCAGTTTCAGATGGTATATGATGAGGCGTTCTCGATAGTAGTCCTGGTACAGATGTAGTATTATGGTCGTAGGTTTTATTTGAAGTAGTATCAGTCGGGACATTTGTATTTCGCGTTAATCCAACTGATGTTAGATCCATACGAGATCCATTTGGGCTCATCATAGGACTGTTAGGCTGTTAGGTTAACAAAATATGTTGTAGTATATATAAATTAAACAACCAGATATGTATTTCAAAAAATATTTCAAGTTAAAAATTAGTACGCTAGATTACGGAGTAAATGGTGTACCTGGATTAATATTGGACTGTGATGAAAAGCTATCATCTGTGAGAGTCTTCAACTCCCATGACCTTTAATATATTATTATCGCCAGTTAGCTAACTTTTTAAAGGAGTCATGACGTAATTAACATCGTGCAATAATAATTCATATCTGGAAGTATCATTTAGTGGATTTAAAAGTCATGCGTCAGTGATTCAATCGGAGGATGGTCGCTAGCTCTGCTATAGGTCCGAGTTCTATTCCTAACCGATAAGCTTCCAGACCTTGGCTGGTTAACTAACAGATAGCAAGCATGGGAAAGAGGGGGAGTTGGGCTTGCGGCTAGCAATCCCACCCTGTGAATAAAACAACGTCACAGCGACTGAAACTTTGAAAGAAGAATTCAGAATCCCTATGCTCCACTGGGAACGAAAAGGAATGGAAGAGATTTAACAGTTGAAATGAACTGTCAACTCATCATTCGGTATGTTACTTTTTATTAAGGTACTGCTAAAGGAATAAGGTAAAGTATTCAGTTAATTACATAGAAATACCCGATTCCCAATGAAGTTATGATAAATTATGATCACATTTATATAGTGGTAGTTATTGAAAAAGTTGATTATTAGATCTTCTTATGTCTTTCTCGAAGAGAATTTTAGGTTTTTAGTTTCACTAGCTAGTCCTTATTGCTGTCGTGTCTTTGTGACTGGTTTACATATCCGATGGTTGGAGACAATCGGGAGGAAGCCTTCGACTTAGGTTTCGTGTTAGTTGGCACTCGTCTCTGAGAGGCGTATCTGTGACCTCAAAAGAACTCATGTCCCTTCTGAGATTCGAACTCACGTCACCTAGTGCCAACTTCAGCCAGAAACGTCACCACTGAGCTGTTCGGGCTCGCGATTGACCTCCTGTAGGACGGTATTGGATACTAGTAACTAGTGTGATGTGTCTAGTCCTTTGTTTGGTGCAGACTGAATTCTATCAGTTAGGTTTGGAATGTGGCCACCAGCCTGCACCAAAGAAAGGACTAGGCACATAACACTAGTTACCAGTGTCCAATCAAAATATCCAATACAGTCCTACAGGTGGTCAATAGCCAAGATGAATAGTGAAGTGGTAATGTCGCTGATTGACTGTAGCACTGGGTGACGTTGGTTCGAATCTCAGAAGTGACATGAGTTCCTTCAAGGTTGCAGATACGCCTTGCTGACTGGTGAGTGCCGACTAGCAGGAGACTTAAGTCCAAGGCATCCTGACGACTTCTTCCAACCATCTAATATCATCCAGACAATGTGCACTGTGATGGCGAGCTACCTAGAATGCTGGCCACATTGTAAACCTGACTGACTGATAGAATTCAGTCTGTATCAAAGAAAGGAGTAGGCACAACACACTAGTTAATGACTAGTGTCCAATCAAAGGCTTACACATATCCGAATGATTCATCCAAATTTGGCTAAATGGAAAAAATTAGCTTTTCTATTTCCAAAAGGTGTACAATCTAAGTGGAACTAATTTCAGAATGTGAAAGCTACCTAAACAATCCCAGTTTTTAGTAAAAAGTTAAACAAATGGGCTGGAGACTACAGTCGCTTTTCAGTCAGCGCTTTTCTCCTCTCTATCTCCATCATCTCATGATACAGTAACGCTTCTTCAACTTGGTCATGTTGTTAGAAATCTTAACCATCTCTGGTGGATCTATGTCAAAAGCTAAGTCAGTAGGTGTTGGAGTAACATAGTACCCTTCTCATCCGAGTATTATCCCTGAAGTTCCAGTGGAAGCAATTTATGATCATATTTTGGTAAAAATCTGTTATAGAAATATTCTGTTCAACTGCACTGATATTCATCTACCTGACTGACGCACATCAAGCACTGAGCAAAATTATGGGACACGAGAGTTTCGAATTTGTTTTCCTCACCTTTTTATACACACGGTTACAGGCAGTCGGGAGGGAGCTTTCGACCTAGATTTCGTGCTTATTCACACTCAACAGGTTCGTTCACTAGCTGATATCAGTTAGAGAACTACTGGAAAGTCAGTAATGGAGTACTGGACAGCTGATTCGTTCCAGTTTGGGACTTTCCACCAGCGCTCGAACCCAGGACCTCCCAACTAAAAGGCGAGCTCGTAGACCATTCACACTCACTGGGGCCCGATCCAATGGTCCAATGAATTTCAACTTCTGCCAGTTTGTGACATACAGCGCAATCACCAGCCAACGCCATAAACGAGTAACTTTTCTCATACCTGACTTGGTGGATCCCGATAGTTCTGGGTTCGACTAATTAGCAGAAGTTAAAATTCGCGGTCCATTCTATTCTCTCCGAGTAGCTGAATGAATAATGTGCTCGACTTGTAACCTGAAGGTTATGGGTACGACCTCAGATTTCCAGTGGTTCTCTGACTGATATCATGACGAAATCTACCTAGTGGTTACGATTATTATATATATATATATAACGTTTAAATTTTCAGTTGTTAGATTTAGTTAAGAACCAATATCATTTAGAAAAATCACTAAAAACAAGGGAGTACTGGGCAGATGTTTCATCCCATCTGGGAACACTTCACCAGTGCACACGATACATCCCACCTGGGATCAAACCCGATAACTTTAGGTGTTACGAGACTGGGCTTGTTTGATCATTCGGGCATTTGGGAAGGAATTCAATGACAGGTTTCGTAGGAGAACAATCACTTGCCTATCACACTGGCTGGTGGTTGCCATATATGCCGCATATTGGTATAATTTGAAATTCACTGGGCCATTGGATTGGTTCCCAGTGAGTGAATTGTCTAAGAGCTCGCCTTGTGACCAGAATGTCCTGGGTTTGAGCTCCACAGGGGTGGGCACATACTGATGAGGAGTCCTAAACTAGGGTGAAACATCTGTTCAATACTCCTCATGGGTTTTCGATGGTTTTCTAACATCTGTCAACTCGTGATATAGCGCTGTCCTCAACCAGTGCCGCCAACGAACACCCACCTGAAGTTCGAATGGCGGACCCTACTATTCATGAATTCTCACTACTACTTAAGGACATCCATTCAGGAGCTATCAATCAACTGAAGACTGATATTTATTTAAATTATCTAACTTGTGGGGATTTAGAATAATTCCATTTTCAATAGTTAGATTTTTTCACAAACCAACATACATAATTCTAGTATTGGTTTGTAGGGATTTGGTTGATTGGTTACAGGATTTAATCATGAGCTGACATCGGTTAGAGAACCACTGGAAAACCTAGGAGTACTGGACAGCTGTTTCGTCAGCCTAGTTTGGGAATCTTCAGCAGTGCGCACCCACCACACGAGGTTCGAACCCAGGATCTCTTGGTTACAAGACGAGCTCGTATACCATTAAGCCACTAGGACCCGATCCAATGGCCAGTCCATGAATTCTAACTTCTGCCAATTCACAATATAGCACAACCGCTAGCCAATGTCTTCGGTGGCGAGTATTTGTCCTCACATCCGACCTGCTGCACCCTTCTGATGAATAAAGTCAGTATCTCAGTCTCTTCAGTGTAATTTCAGCAAGGAGAAAAATAACACAACTTACATAACTTAAACAGGATAAATCAATATCATCACAAATGGTTGTATACTCTCGACAAGTGAAATCTGGTGCCCGATAAGAGTTATGACCGAAACGACGATTACGATTACGTCTATTAAGAAGGAAGGAAAACGCGCACAGAAAGAGAGAATATATATATATATATATATATATATATGCATATAATTTATTAATTTCAAAGGATATATACAAACATTGACTAGTTGAAGACTATCTTTGAAGCCATTTGATGGTTCTTGCACTTCAAGTTCTGCTTAATCTATAGCTTACTTCTTACAGATGTGAGGGGAAGTTAAAGGTAAGATTCATTTTGAAGAGTAACACAGATGACCACAGTTGTTGAAAATTATGGAGTGCTCTGTATCTGGTTTGTCCTAATTTGATACACCTCGGAAATTAACGCTTGGGCAAGGAATACATCCATCCCGAGGGTGGACTACTGTCAGTTTTTTTTAAGTAGGCGCATTATCATTCATTTAATGATTCAGTGATTTTGATTATTGGGTAAGATTATAATATTATTTAAATAGCGTTAAGATTACTAATTATACTACTTATATTGTAATTTTCAGTAGTATGAGTAGTAATAGGGTTAAATCAATAGAAATATTGGTCCGGTACCTTACCAACTGAGCTATAAGACCCATCTATTAAACGTGAACGTGCAATAGTCAAAAATTATAGAAACTAAACATGTGATCTCTAATCAAAGGTTCACATTAGGCCGGTTTAATGCACGGTGAAATGTAGGGCTAATAACATTTTCTTATTAAACCTTAATTTCTCGGCGATTATCTCTCTGCTACCAGTTATGAACGTAACTTGCCGTAAATTCATGTTTGTATATGAAGGATGGTTTGTTGAAGTTCGACTCCAAAGCAATAAATATCATTATCTATTTGATTGATTGAGCCGACATGTTCGCCTCATTGTGTGGATGCATCAGAGATGTGTAGGGATTAACTTAAAGTAATTCATTGGATGGTGACTAGCTATGGAATCCAGGAAGTGCACTCTGCCATACTTGGGATTCATCAGGCGGATGTACATGCATTTCCCGCTGGAGCTCAAACCCAGCACCCGTTGTTTCGAACGCCAGAGTGTTATCTACTAGACTACTCGGGCTATGAGAGCCATCTCTTGTGTAGTGGGTGTTAGACATTATTTATTTTTAATTCAGTTTTGAATTTCCCGTTGACTGATTCAACCGAGTCTCAGTGAGAACACCATCATTCACTGGGAAATGCAGGTACATCCAGATGATGAGTCTCGAATAGGATGAAATTGGTATCCTGAATTCCAGTGCTAGTCACCATCTATCAAATTACCTCAAATAAATGAGACTTATCCTCTATTAACTTGAATTTTGGTCAGCCGATTTCGCTCACATTCCCATCCTGATCCTTTTTCTCTTTCGTTAATGGTTGGCTTTAGCCTTGGGTTTTGGGCTAGAACGGGAAAAAGCGCTCAGTTCGATATGATACGCTGCCTGCCTATTTCGTTAAATGATTATTTGGATTGATTGTTAAAGTTTATTTGATAAGGTGTTCGTTTCGGTCGTTGTTTTTGTAGGTGATGTCACAACATTCCATGCTTAATGGAGTGAATTTCATCAACACTACCATTATCTGTTTATACTTGTAGTTTATATCTATTGATTTACTCGCCAACCACATCAATGGTCCAGGTTTCGATTCCCAGCCAATGGACGTACTCCTGAACCTCGTGTAGGCGGTAGTAAGCCTGGGTAAAGAAGGAAGATTGGCTTAGGGACCCCACCCCATGAAAAGAAACACTCCTGCTACTAGGGATTTAAAGCTCAAATAAGAAGCCCCATGTTCCACTCGGAACGCAAAAGAAATAAAAGACATCTCGCCTATGACCTCTACGAACTGATGTCTTGACATCACTCTAAGTCTTTTAAAAAAAATTTGACATCACCCTACTAGTGGAAGTCAAAACTCATGTTTCTGACCACATTTTAAACTCATCATATACTGTGAAAAATGACAGCTGATAGGTTCGAGTCTTGTTGGGAAGATTTTCACTTACTAGAAGACTCTCAAGTGAGATTAAATGTATCATGAATTCTGCTGGCAGACATAGCACAGATAATATTTAGACTATTGTCACCTTATTTTCAAATATTAATTTGTGGGGATTTTGTTTGATCGGTTGAAGGATTTCATCATGAGCTGATGTCAGTTGGAGAACCATTGGAAAACTTGCAGGGATTACTGGACAGCTGTAACATCCCAGTTTTGGACTCTTCATCGGTGCGCATCCACCAAGGGGGGTTCGAACCCAGGACAATCTTGTTACAAGGCTAACGAGCTCGTAGACTATAAAGCTACTGGGAGCCGATCCAATGGCGCATGAATTCTAACTTCTTCCGATTCACGATATAGTGTGACCACTTAGCAGTGTCTTCGATGAGTAACTATTCTCACTTTATTTAAATGCAAGAGAAGCTACAGCAATCAACAGTCGATAGTAAGCAATCAAATGATAGAGATAGGCTCTATTGACTGAAGAGTGATAGGCAGATTATCTCTTATATAAGAGATAATGATTGGAGGTGAAGAATAAGTCCGGTTCATGGCAGAATTCCGGTGAAATGATGACTTGGTTATTAGATGCGTTTCACAGCGCAGATGGTAGACCACAGGGGTTATTAATCCGGAGGCCGCTGGTTAGGAATGTTTAGGCTAGTTATATTATCTCTTTGTGTAAAATCTCTTCTCAGTATATTTTATTTATTGTATCTCTTTAATTATCGCAGAACATATGGGGATTGGCAAGTGATTATATTTAGATAGAAAGATATCCATACAGAATTAAAACCACTACCCAAGAGTCTGGGTTTCTACATTTCAAATAAAATAAAGGGGGAAAGTGTGAAAATGATGTCGAAATTGTAAAGCGTTATAAAACAGTAAAATAAGCTAAATTTTCAAATATTGGTTTTGTAGGGATTTTGTTTGGTTGTATGGAGGATTTCACCATGAGCTAACATCAGTTGGCGAACCACTGAAAAACCTGGAAGTACTGGACAGCTCCTGCTGAAATCCTCCATACAATCAAACAAAATCCCTACAAAACCAATACTTGAAAATTAATCTGATGCTCACTATCGACTGGCCCTATTCAGGCAGTTAATCTGGGGTTCTAGTGGGAAGCTGTGACCAGTAGGATACAGCAGGTCGAAGATGGGGCAGTAACTCATCGAAGAAGACATTGCGAAGTGGTCGCGCTATGTCGTGAACTGGCAGAAGTTAGAATTCAAGGACCATTGGATCGCGTCCCAGTGGCTCAATGGTCTACGAGCTCCCTTGTAACCAGAAGGTCCTGGGTTCTGACACTGGAGGTGGGTGAGTACTGCTGAAGAGTCCCAAACTAAGACGAAACAGCTGTCCAATACTCCCAGGTTTTCCAGTGGTTCTCTAACTGATGTCAGCTCAAGGTGAAATCCTCCATACAATCAAATAAGCTAAAGGTTATGATATTACTGATCAAAAGGTGAAGGCAAAGGACATTCTGACATTTCACAAAAACCATCCATTTGTCTACAGGTATATAAATAAAGTAATTCTGGAGAGTTTCAAGACGGAATTTGTACAGAAATGCAGTAGTTCAAGTCGCCACACCCCATTGAAAGGTATAGAAATATAAAGAGCAGAAATATATTGGAGAGGATATGAGGATTTAATGAACTTAAGGGATTCCAGAGACTGAATACTTCTGTGCTATTGAGAAGGATTTCGCATCATTTCAGCAGCTTCAACCAGACAATTTGTACCTCCCTACATGTCTCAGAATAACTGTCAAAGATATGTTTTAGTTTGACCACTGTAAACTCTTTTCCAACCTAGTCCAGTGTCAAAGAACCCTGATCGACGAGGGAGGAGGTGGCTCGGTATGCGTAACGTGTGTCCTAGCTATCTTGACTGATATAGCTTCACAACCTCATTGAATGACTTACCCTCTTTACCTACCACTCTATGCCTAACCTCAGTATTACTCACCATATTCAGTGAAGTAGTAATTTTAACTGTTTTAAACATTTAATCTTCAGTTAGGAGGATTTAATATCTTTGGATGTGTGAAAGTCAAAAGAGAAAAACTTCTTTACAAAGATAAAACTGCTAGATGGAACTATCCAGTTTATGTTAAGTATAATACAGGCGAAATATCCATCTACAAATAACCATAATGCATCAGTAAACCAGTGAAGTGGACATTTGGGTGTCTATATTATGTTGATCTGGTTGGCAAGCACCGCTGCTTATCGTGACTAGTCTCCAGCTACTGTGATCATTCAGTAGTATGTACCTCGAATCATGCTCTACTGACTGTTGGTTTGAGTCACGTGGGAAGGCGTTGACTGCTTGATTCAGGTCCTTGCGATACAAAGGATCAGTAGTTGGAGACTATTGGAGATATAGTTGAAAGTAGTTTTCAATAGCGCGAATACATTCACTCCTTATCAACTCCCAGATCCAATAGATCCTCATTATTACCATAGTAATAAATGTGTGCTTTTATAAACCGTGGTAGCTTAAGCTGTTCACAAAATTAAGGTATCTGATCTTAATGAGGTTTCTACCATTTCTTAGATTATTTTCATATTTTGTTAATGCTAAAGCTGAATTGGGGAACACCAAGCTGGAGAAAGACGCGGTGGTCACGAATATCACTTGTCTACTAGCCAATTTCTCACTCCGCTGCATAAGCAACAGCACACAACGAATTCGGACGAAAAGTGTAAGAACACTGATATGAGAGGCATGAGAGAAGGTGTGGTGAGAGCTGTCTGCTAGCTAAAATTGGTAGACAGCAATTTACATCAATGTTTACGTACCAAATCTTGCTCATGAGCAAAAACAAGAACGAGGCTTAACTTTGAAGAACTCAGCAACCAATCACGGCAGACTTAGCGTGGTTGGATACGATTCTCAGATATATCACTGGACTGTCTGAAAAACGGCCACAGAATAACCTTCAGCAGGAAAACGACCAATCAGAAGACTTTACTTCTCGGCCAACAATAACGCTAATAATAATGTACATAAAATTCTATAAATATTTATTGATTTTCTGAATAGACAACCTGTTGCCTGGTCCTTATCTTCTGTCGTTACCAAGGTAGCCCATAAAAATAGTATCCCCAAATGAATTATAATGATTACTAGAAATATACAGAGCTGCCGCCATTCGATACTGACGCCCAAATGGTTAATCAGAAAGGATAGGCAGGCAGCAACAAGAAATTATGTTATCCAGTGAACCAAGCAAACGGCCTATTGCCAAACAAGTATGCAGAAGGAAATAGAGATGAATCGGACATATGTTGACACAACGCTGAAGTCCCTCTAGTGGAAGACAAATGGTAAGTAACACATGAAGAGAAAGTGAAAGCTTTTGGGGTAGTCATGAAGTCCTCTGGAAGTGATACTGTAGAACCGAATAAAATGAAAATGTACCAATAAAGTTCCATTGTAATAACAATAGACCAGGGTCAGGCAACAGATCGTTTATTAAGGAAATCAACACATATTTGTATATTTTCATGCACATTATTATAGATTATTGTTAGCAGAAAAACACAGTCTTCTGATTGGTTGTTTCTCATAGAAAGTTAACCTTGTATCTCTTTGTGACTGTCTCTTGAATGTCAGATCATCCATATGTTAACTGTATCCGCCTACGCAAAGCCTTTATTCTCATTTTTCTCACGACCAATATTGGGGACATAAGCACTGACGTAAATTATTGTCCACCAATTTCGGCTAACAGCCAGCTCTCACCGCACTATGATCCAATCAGTACGCAAGGAATAAATAATAAATTTATTATGCCGAAGAAGAAATTATCTTATTTAGTATACTTACTCATACATACGATCATAATGTGATCCAAAGTATTGTGCATCTGAATGTGGTAAAGTAAGATGATCATATGTAGGCGTTGAATATCTATGATCTGTTCGACTGCTTCGATGTTTCATACGTACTGAACAACTTGGTGATCTTTCATGCATTGAATCTAAACAACCTTGATATTGACGTGAACTGAATGATCCAGTTGGTGGACGTGAACGTCGTCCAAGTTGTGAGATTAAAGAACGAATTAAATGTGCTGTAGAATCAGAATTATCTAAATAGAAGTTATAAAGAGAATAATGATTATACGAGTGAATGAATATGTCTCACTTCATATAATTAATAATAAAAGAGAGTAGGGGAGGGGGTTAAAATGAATATATTCCAGGTTCTGATAGAATCTCTCAACATGATAAACACCTTTAGTGATTTGAGCGCAGAAATATAGACACAGTACACCTATTTGAGATTTTCTTTTGCAAGTCAGTAGTAAGAGGAAGCAGTTAGAAGAATCGTCCATTTCCTATTGAAGCATGTGGGTCAGCTCTTTAGGACAAATTTATCTCACTACAGTCATCACAGGTATTGCACAGTTGTCATGTGAATATGAATGAAACATTACTATCAATTTATCATCACATGAGGTGCCCAGTCAGCTCTTAACATATCATTCCTACTCATACTGGATTAGAGGACATGGAGGAGGTTGTCAGATTGTGGTGAAACCATCCAAGATAGACTTGGGTTGGCACAGAGCTACTGACGTAATAGGTAATAATGGTTCAAGATGGCTACAGGCTTCAAATCAGTGTGCTCTGTGAAACTGGAAGCTGAAACTTATTAGGTCTAACTTATGCCGATTTATGTCACTAAAAGCACTTCCAACAGAATGCTGGTTTTCATCAACAACAGCCTCCCTCCTTCATTGAAATAATCCAACAAATACACATAAAGTTATTGAGATGGACTGGGTATACACTGAGAAGACATGCAACAGGACATGCAACAAGACACTTTAGCCTCTCGAGTGGAAGCGACCAATCGAGCATCCAAAACTGGCATAGAGGAGATCATGGGAAAATAAGAAGAATGCCTGTAGGCACTCATGGAACCAGTCGGAGATGATGGCAGGGTGCGATGAAGACATGCAGCCGAGGTCCTATGTTCCATTGGGAATGCAAAGGACGAATGATTGGGAAGTAACTTCATTATAGCATTACAATGATTACTGCTCAGTGGATTTCCCTAACCTGTGAGACTGTTCATGGATAAATACATCATTTACTGTTTGTATTAAACTGTTCACAGATATCTCATCTGAAGGCATTTAAGTAAACAAAGAGATGCGTATTAGGAGGAACAGGCTGGATTCAAGAGAAACAAGTCATGTATTGATCAGATCGCCACACTACGGATCGTCATTTAACAAAGCTTAAGAATGGCAGTCACCTCTGTATCTCAACTTCATCGACTTTGAAAAGGCCTTCGACAGCGTCGATCGAGGAGTGATTTGGCAGCTACTTCGCTACTACGGGGTGCCGCAGAAATCTCATCCAACAACTGTATGACAATGCTGCATGCCAAGTAATCCACAACGGGAAACTTACGGAAGCCTTCGAAGTGAGGACGGGAGTGAGGCAAGGCTGGACGGTTGCCCAGTATCTCCAATGATTTTCCTGATTGCAGTAGATTGGATAATACGACAGACAGCGGGCATGAGGAAACAGGCATCAAATGGACTCACACACAAAAAGAACTTAGAGGATCTGGACTTCGCCGATGATGTATGTCTGATTTCCCACAAACTGGAAGATATGCAAGTGAAAAGCAACAAGTTGGCAGAAGAAGCATCAAAGATAGGATTTCAGGTGTACATGGAGAAAACAGAGGTGATGAAGATTTCTGGCCAACAACAGACGACAATCAGCATAAGTGGGAGAAATCTGAAAGAAACAACCTCCTTTACCTACCTACCTACCTACCTACCTCGGAAGCATCGTTTCAATTACAGGCTTACGGAACTGACGAGGATATCAAAGCAAGAATCAGAAAAGCAAGACAAGCTTTCATTACTCTCAAGTCTGTGTGGAGGTCAACACCACTCAGCATCAACAATAAGATCCGGATTTTTAACTCCAATGTGAAGCCAGTGCTACTTACTATACGGATCACAGACCTGGCCAGCGCGTCATAAAGAGCACCTCAAACAAACTACAGACCTTCATTAACAGCTGTCTTCGCTCGATACCACTCAAGATCAGATGGCCGACCAGAAAAGATCAGCAACAGGGATCTCTGGAAGCCAACGAGCCAACCCAGCAGGAACCGATTGTGAAACAAATAGGCAGGAAGAAATGGAGATGGATAGGCTGGCCATACTCTGAGGAAACCATCAAGTGACATTACTAGACAAGCCCTCGAGTGGAACACGAAAGGGAATCGGCGAGTTGGTCGTCAGTGTGACTTAGAGGAGGTCATGTGAAGAGGAGATGAAAGTATGTGGGCAGACTTGGAGCGGGGTGAAAACATTAGCAGAGAACCAAATGCAATGGAGACGCGCAGCTGAAGCTCTATGTTCCTCTAGGAATTAAACGAAATAATAATAATAATTAGGAGGATGATACAAAGAGGTGAGAGAGAGAGAGAGAGAGAGAGAGTAGACAAAAGGCGAAACATACCATTTTGTGTTGTATTCGCAGAATCTTGTGCCATCTGCTTTTTAAGTAACCACAAAAGACTCGATGTAAATATGAAGTCTCTGTCATGCGAACTACTTGCATGAATAGTTGATTGGTCATGGGGATTATTTGCTATTGATGGAGTTGTTGGCGTTGTCATCGGGTGCTCTATAGTTGTATTACGATGACTATTATTATGTACATTTGCTATTGATGGACTAACAGGTCCTGTTGAATGTAGATTATCCTCCATATAGACTAGATGTTCTTCAACTAAATGAACTAGTCCACGTAGATGACGTTGACGTACATGAATTTCTTCCATTCTGAATTGTAGCTTATCAATTCTGTAGAAAAAAAATTCAAAGGGAAAATCGATTATACTCTGCGTATATGTACGAACAAGATGATATACATTTGAAAGGGTTATGTACTCCTAATATTTGTCTATAATCTTAAAATAGATATATTTTGCAGTTATCGCGTGCGTTCCCGGCGCTTTTTCTATTTCCTATTGTTTTGAACCCTAAAGTCTCATTGGCTGTTGACTCTTTTAACTAATAAGCGAATCTGGTGCTTGTCAAGGTAATTTAAAATCTTATATTTTTAGGCATCAACAGCAAAAATTTTAAAGAAGTCACCTCCTCCATTTATCTAGCTCAGATAACACCTTTCCAACTACTGGTGGCACAAATGAGGATATCCAAGACAGCCAGGGTCAGGAGTAGAAGAAAGAATTTCATTATTCTGAAATCACTGTGAAAATCTGCTGCATTCAGACTTTCAACCCTAATTTCAAGTCAGTGATTCTATATGGTTCAGAGGGTTGGCGCATCATGGAAAGCATTCCCAACAGGCTACTATTACTAAATTTGGCTCTGTTTGATTGGTTTCAACGTAGAACTTTGCACGGATGTGCAGCAGTTCCAGTATGCCGCACTCCATGGAACACATAAAGCACGAGAAGAGAGATTCAAAATACAGAGAGATAATAAACAGAAATATGAGGCAAAAATAATAGGAATATTGAAGAACAACAGAATTTTATTGGATAGTATAAATCACATCTGCGCCATTGAGAACGATTTTGAGCCATACCACTAATTGTCTCCAGCCTTTATTGGTTTGTTACCGTCCCGAGGACCCCAACCAGGAAGTTTGCACCTCCCTAGATCGCTGGTTTAAGCTAACTGTTGTAGATTTCATTGACTGATGAGGCGATGTTTTGGTTTAACCGCCACTAGCTGTTTTCCAACCTGATCTATCCCATGTTAGATAACATCGCCCGTCGTCGAGGAAGGCGACAGCTAGACATGCATATGTAACACATGTCATAACCACCTCTCTCAATCGATGTAACTTCACAACTTCGTCGATTGATTTCCCCTCCTTACTTAGCACTCGACCGAAGTCTAACCTCAATACTACTCACCCTATTATACCACCAATATGGTAGACAGAATGCAGACACTTATGACCAAAGACAGCTAGCCAGGCTTTTCATGTCTTCCATTTTCAATGGCCATGTCTCGCCCACAGTACACATACCCTTTAGTCGACAGCCAACCGGATATCACGCTCACACCAGAGATGGGTGGCTCAATACTGAAGATCAGATGATCAGAAAGGATTAGCAACCAGGAACTCTTGCAACTAACCAACTATGAACCTATTGCCCAGCAATTATGTCAGTGAAAATGCAGGTGGATTGGACGCAGGCTAAGGAGGCCGTTGAGTGACACTACGCGCCAGACATAAACTTGAGTGTAAACCATATAAGAAATGGGGACTTGGAGGTGGGTTCAGTGGTGACATGAAGGAGATCGTGTGAGGTGCAATTGAAAGCCTATGGGCTATTGTAGAGCCAATTAAAAAAGACTGCAGAGAACAGAGTGAAATGGAGGTATGCTGATGAAACCCTATTTCGCAGTCACAGCCCAAGGGGATAAGTATAATAGTAATAATTTAACTACACAATTAAGTGATTTGACTGATATTTGAGACGGTCAGTCCTCTGTCTTATTTTCAAATGCGTATGGTATTGTTGTCGTTTTCGTTGACACTGTGATTGGCGATTGGAGTAGTTTTCATTAGAGCACTCGATTAGTAAAGCTCGTGCATTCGACTTGGTGGTATTATCTGCCATATTAGAAAGCCTACATAAAATGTCTCTATTCATAAATTAACATGGGGCTAATTACTCGAGATATTAGTGGGAAAGCAGAATCCCAAATTAATGCTTTGCCTCATTTTGAATTGTACAAAGCTAACATATAGTTTCGTAGTAAATATTGATTATTCATAGTGTTATTACGCATCAGTGGCACAGCAGTAGAATGCTCGTTAACCACGTAGGTGGTTCGGGGTTCGATCCCCAGCCAACGCAATCCCTTGCTTCGCCAAGCCACTAATAAGACTGGTAAAGAGAGAAGGTTGAGTATGAGGCTAACAACCCCATCCCGTAAAAATAGATACCATCGCCACCAAAACTTTAAAGCTCTAGCTTGAAGCCCCATGTTCCACTGGGAAATGTAAATGAATAAAATAAAAATAAAAAATAAAAGTGTTATTACAGTTGTGTTAATTTATGAACTCTGGTTTCCGTTAGTAGTGATTTCAACGTTAGTTTTAGATATTATCTACAGAAATAGTTTACGACTAAGTGAATTGTGGTATTTTTGTGCTCTGTGAGCTGATTGTAGGCCTTAACAATAAGGCTTTCATTCAAGTGTTGGTTTGTAGGGATTTGATTGGTTACAGGATGTCATCATGAGCTGAGATCAGTCAGAGAACCATTGGAAAACCTGGGAGTACTGGACAGCTGGTTCATCCTAGTTTGGGACTCTTCGGCAGTACGCAGCCACCGGGATTCGAACCAAGCACCTTCTGGTTATAAGGCGAGCTCGTATACCATTAAGCCACTTAGACCCTATCTAAGGGCCCATCAATTCCAAACTAGGACGAAACAGCTGTCCAGTACTCCCAGGTTTTTCAATAGTTCTCTAACTAATGTCAGCTCATGATGAAATCCTGTATCCTTGATTGGTTGCATAAATCCCCTTAATTTTATTCGGTATTCTATGTAGCATCACATTTTATGCTTATTATAACTTAAATGTCTTTCTTGAACTGTAATTTCACTGATCTTAACAAATCGATAGTATTTAAAAAATCACCAATATATATATATAATTGTAGAGTCAGAAGAGGAAATTATCGAGAAGAATATTCTTTGCTCAGATTTTCTCTTGTCTTCTAAATGTTTGAATGAATATTTTAGCTTTGTTAATCTGTTGTTGAAAGTCTTACTTTTTCTCTGTAGAACTTTGATTAGATAGTTAGAGGCAATCGTCAGGAAGCCTTGAATTTAAGTCTCGTGCTAGCTGGTACTCACCAGTCAGCACGGCGTATCTGCGACCTTGAAAGAACTCATTTCCCTTCTGAGATTCGAACCTGTGTCATCCAGTGCCGCCTGCAATCGGAGACGTTACCACTGAGCTATTCGGGCTCGCGATTGACCTCCTGTAAGACTGTAGTGGGTATTTTGACTGGACACTAGTAACTAGTGTGATGTGTCTAGTCGTTTCTTTGGTGTACAGTGAATTCCTGACGATTGCCTGCAACTATATAATATCATCAAATCAATGTGCACCGTGATGGTGAACTACCCAGTGGAATGGTGGCCACATTACAAACCTGACTGATAGAATTCAGTCTGCACCAAAGAAAGGATTAGACACACATCACACTAGTTACTAACTAGTGTCCAATCAAAAGAACTTTGATTAACCTACAAACTTCTAAATGTCTGTTCTTACTTGATATTGTCTAGGAGGTTGTTAGGTTGACCGGGATCACGTATGTGTGTATGTGCAGGTTAAGTCAAGCTCCACTTACATTGAATATTAAAGAATTTACTTAGCATACTGGTCGCCTTATCGTTATTTCTCTTAGGTGGGAGGGGGTGAAAGGCCTTGAAAGTATAATATTTGATTTCCGAATTAAAGTTTTTTTTGGGGGGGGGGTTATCTGCTGGACTTGTTACTAATTGGAAATTATTTATTCCTGACGGAGTTTTCACACCCACGCACACACACACAGCCTCCAGTAGTAAAACGATAGAAAAGATGACTTCCTAGAATCATGATGAAGGCTTTATCAATGAAGATTGAAACTGAATGGGCCATACATAGAGGTACTACAATAGTCACGAATATTCATTGTCATCATTACTGCTTACTTTTTATTTAATATTCCCACTTGACCTTCTTCTTTGTGTAATTCAGCTCTCCGTGTAACACGTGTATAGTCTTCTACGCATTCCTCCTCGAAATCATGAAGTTTTTCTACTTCATCCGGATTCAAAAATAATTCTAGATTTGGTGCAGAGGGGAGAAAAAAAATAAAGCGATTCGTTAAAATAGAATTATATAAGAGAAGAGTTTTATCATTTTGTAAACTTAAATCTCAAATGATGAGCATAATTTTATCTTTCAAATTTTTCTTTCCAAGTGGGACAAACAGCTTTAAGCTTTCGAAGGCACGGGTAGCAGTGGCTGTCATACTTTTACGGGATGGAGTAGCTAGCCTCACACCCGACCTTCCCTCTTTAACAGACTAACTACTAATTAGTAAACTAGATGAGGCTTAGTAGAGCTTCTGCTGGTCGAGGATCAAACCAGGACCTGCTATCTGGCTACCAGTAAACTACCGACCGATAACTGACTTATGTCAAAGAGAAAGGTAAAGACAAAAGAAACCATGGAGCAATTACTTAGCAACGACGAACACCTTCCACAACAATCAAAAATGCAACACACAAGCTGGATGGAATGCATAAACCTATGCCTAACAAACGGCCAAATATATGAACAAGTCAAAGGAACACCCATGGGATCGCCAATATCAGGTTTGATTGCAGAAGCAGTGATGCAAAGACTCGAAAACATAATTCTACCGAAGATCAAACCGAAGATTTGGATACGCTACGTCGACTACACATTTGCAATAATCAAAAGAAACGAGTTAGATAAGACTCACAACTTAATAAACAACGTCTTCAACGACATCACATTCATAAGAGAAGAGGAATCCGAGAACAAAATACCGTTTTTGAAAGTCTTAGTCAAGCGAACAACCACAGGGGAATTAGAAACTCAAATTTATAGGAAATCAACTCACACAGACCAAATCCTGAATTACAACAGCAACAATCCAATAACACACAAAAGGAATTGCATACAAACACTATTGAAGAGAGCAAGGACTGATTGCAGCAAAAAAAAATTTAGGAAAATTGAAGAAAAATATCTCATGGACGTCTTCCAAAAGAATGGATATCCACGGAATTTCATTAAAAGACATATACCCCCAAGTCAACCTATCAAACCAAAAGCCCCCAAGGGAAGCACAAAGAAAATCGCCTTACCATATATAAAGGATATCTCAGAAATCACTACAAAACTCTTCAAACCTCTAGGAATTGACGTCGTACACAAACCAACAAAGTCACTTCACTCAATTCTATGTCAACCAAAAGACTCAACAGCGAAAGAAGATAAAACCAACATCATCTACAAAATAAATTGTAACAACTGCGAAAAACACTACATTGGCTAAAGTGCACGTCCCCTTCGTCTTCGTATCCACGAACATAAGCTAGCCGTCAAAAGACATGATATCCCCTCCCTCATATCACCACACTACAGACAACCACTGACATCGATTCGACTGGGACAACGTTCAAATATTAGACAGAGGAAACAGCAAGAATGCTAAGGAATTTTTAGAAGCTTGGCTGGTACTCCAGTGAATCATCAATCAATAGACACATAGAGATAGACAAAATTTATCAACAGATAAGAAAGAAACCTTACGCACAAAAGGTCAAAGTTCAAGTCAAAGAGACAATCAGTTCCAATACAAGTAGCCTAAAGGGTGTGAAAATACACAAAAACAACCAATCACGTCCAAGGTCACCAGCAGAGATGATTAATAAACTCGTGGAGAAATCTAAAAGCTCACTTTAACAAATTGAAGTATGCGCTGAAGATGTCACCTAGTAGGGTGATGAAAGCTTCGCAAATCAACTATCCAGCTTAGAGAACACAACCACATCAAAATCATCCACCTGAGCTACAAATCTTCTCTGTCATATCTAGAAAGGTTTAGTGTGTACTACTTATAAATAGATACGAGTAGTATATCAAGTAATGTTTATGGAGAGGTAGTGATAATATATGTGTGTCTGTGAAAAAGTTTCTGTAGTAGTAACAGAAGAAGACAGTTACTGTGCTGAAAAGAATATGAAAAGTGAAGGCTTGTGTCATTGTCAAATAGTGGAATTAGTGCATGGTTTATTATTTTGTTAATGGTCATTGTAATTTGTCCTCATAACTAATAGATATGCCTTCAACTATCTTGTTTTATACAATAATATCAATTTCTTGACGTCAACAAAATAACTACTGAGTGTCACTTGTTGACAAGAAACATTCTCAATTCAGAATAAGAGGACACTTTGCCACTGCTTAAGTAGAATCAGATAGGATAATTCTAAGGTTTCCTGGCCATATCTTCTGTCCAAGGCAGAATTTTTTGCCACATATTATTATTGTTCCCTCGGTTCCATTTTGAAACATAGGGTTTCAGCGACACGTCTGCACTTCGTCCTATTCTCTTCGGGTCTAATTAGCTGGCCCTATGACTGCCTGTAGTCTCTGATCTCCTCATCACATGACCTCCTCTGCGTCAACATCAGACGCCCCCCTAGTCGTTTCCGATTCGAATTTCACTAGAGGGCCTATCGTGCGATATCATTCAACGATCTCCTCAAGGAAAACCCTGAAATGTGTACAAAGAAGTGGTTTGTTCAATTCTCATGTTTTTTTTTACTAGTGTGACAGGAGTTCAGGGTTTTTCTTGAGGCGACTGTTGAATGACATCGCACAATAGGCCCTCTAGTGGCACATGAATGGGAAACGACGAGTGGGGCATCCTATGTTGACATAGATGAGGTCACGTGGGGAGGAGATCAGGGACTACGGGCAACCGTGGGGCCGGCTGAATAGACCAGAAGAGAATAGGATGAAGTACAGATGTGTTGCTGAAGCCTTTTATTTTCTAAAACTCTTACTCTTATGAGTAATATTCCTCTTTCCAAGAGACTGTAGTTTTTAGTGGTGTATCCATTTCTAAGTGATATTCATCACTTAATGTTTTTTCTTACAGGTTAGATCACGAGTTGACATCAGTTAGAGAAGCACTGGATAACCAGCTTGTGATCAAAACTTCAGACAATCCAAATCCTTTGTGGTGGCCACGTTCACCGTAGAATAGTAAAAAAATAATGAATTCACAGAAAATCATAGTTATTACGTGATATTGAACAAGGATACTACGTAGTTCCGGACGACATTTCTTTCCTCTCCAGCTTTTCGCTTTCCCCATCTGCCAAACCAATTCTGCCTCGTAGCTGATCCATACATCCCCACATTAGGATCTCTTTCTCCGAAAGTGCCCTTCGGTCGTTCGCGCCTCTTACGTGTAGTGAGCATCTGTATACCCAAGGAAGGGACTATTTCATACCTACCATTCTATACATCTATATTTGAATATTTTGGGATAATTATAACTTTTCAAATAACTGCATTTTCTGTGTATGTTAATTTATGTTGACTGAATACACTCTTCTACATACATACACACATGTTTGTATTTATTTTGTCCTTTTTATTTTGCGTATAAACAAACTTAGACGTTTAGTCCACTACACCTTGTAAACCGATGTTTGAAAATTCATGTTTGTAGATTTTTTTTCCTTCACGTTCCCCAGTGGAACATAGGGCTTCAAGCTAGAAGGCTTGAAGTTTCTGTAGCAGTGGTGTAAAGTTTTACGGGATGGGGTTGCTAGCCTCATGCCCAACCTTTCCTCTCTACCAGCTTTTATTTCTGGCTTAACGAGGTGAAGGAGTGAGTCGGCCGGGATCGAACCCCGGACCATGTGTATGGTCGGCGAGCGTCCTAACCGCTATGTCCTATGTTGTAGATTATTATAATATTATTATTGTTCCCTTGGGTTCCTAGTGGAATATAGGGCTTCAACACTTCACGTCTCCACTTGCTTCTGTCTTCTTTCTGCTGTACTTTTCACCTGAATCCATCCATGTTAGTCCATACTGTTTCAACCAACTCCTCTTCACACGATCTCCTCCATGTCACCCTTGCACTGACGTCCCACTCGCCGCTTCCCTTTCGGCCTGGTTTCACTCGAGAAATGGCCTGACGTGCGCGCGATGTCCCCCAGCGGCCTCCTCAGCCACGAGTGTCCAATCCATCTCCACTTTCTCCTGCATATTTGTTGGCTGGCGGTTGGTTCTTGTTTTGTTTGTTTGTTCCCAGCCATAGTTTCTTGTTGGTGATTCTTTCCGGCCCACCCGGCCATCTGATCTTCAGTATAGATCCAGCGAAGACAGTTGTTAGTTGATAAAGGTCTGCAACAGGCTGTTGGAAATATTCTTTGTGACCCACCCGCCGAGTTTCTGATCCGTATAGAAGAACTAACTGACTTGACGTTTATATTGAAAATCCGACCGAATTTTGTTGTTGATGTTGAGTTGAGTGATGAAGATTTCCAGGTTGGTTTCAGTCAGGTTGATGAATGTGTTTCTCGCTCGATTTGACATTCTCGTCCGTTCCGATTTCCTGTAGTTGAGACAACGCTCCCTAGATAATGTTGTAGATTACAACAGGCTATTTAATCAAGTGTCTCAATTTAATCCTTTTTTTTCTTCATGACATATAATTTCATGTATTTTGTGGACAAGTGATATTAATAACTGACCTTTATGGATATTTCGCTAATCTTTTAGAACAGTATATATAACTGTACATCTGTGAGGTGATGTTTCGCGATAAAAAAGAATAATCTTTGTTCACAAAAGGGTATCTTTCATACTTTGAAAATGAATTCACTCAGAAAGAAATTTCATCTGGCAGCTGCTTATTCTGTTATTTGATGGCTACTTCGCCAACCACCGGTGTGATCTGGGGTTTGATTCTCGGCTGACTCACTCCTTAAGCTTACTAAGCCAATAGTAATGTCGGTAAAGACAGAAGGTTGCATGGGAGGCTACCAACCCGACCTCATAAAGATAACACAGACACTGCTAACGAAACTTCAAAGCTCAAACTTGAGGCCCTATGTTCCACTTGAAGTGTAAAAGAAATAATAAAAATTAGAAAAAAAGAAGACTCAATAGATTTTTTCGTTATTCCGTTAAGAAATAATGTAAATGATATTCACCTTTCTGATTGACTGTATCAATAATTTAGAAAGGAAAAAAAAGAGGGGAAAGTTTAAAACTTACTTAGACCAGCTGACAATTCAGTGACAGGATCAATTCGTGTATCGCGTGCTTCATGATGATCATGTCGATTTGCTGATGTGTGTGATGATGGATCAGGCTTTGTCGGGGATTCAGGATTATTCATTTTATTATGATTATTATTATTGTCATTATCATTTGGACTAGATTGTTTTTGAGCGTTATCTGAGACAGTAGAACTTGACAGAACAGACGTTCTACGCTTTTTACGATTCCTTATAATAATAATAATAACAAAGAAAAAGGTGGAAGTAAATGATTAAATACATGGACAAGGAATGCTCAAGAATTTGTTTGTAGGGATTTGATTTGTTTCAAGTTTGATCACGGATTTATATCAGTTAGAGATCCAGTGAAAACCAGGGAGTATTGGACAACTATTCTGTCCTAGTTTGGGACTTATCGGCAGTAAGCACCCAACAGGGACTCGGACCCTGGATCTTCCGGTTGCAATGTGAGCTCGTAGACCATTCATCTACTGGGATTCGACTCAACGGCTAACCCATGAATTCTAATTATGGATAAAATTTTAGACTTTAATTCGTCTCATCCGTTATCTGTCTGTGAAGGCAGGTTTAGTTAAGTGTCCAACAAACCAAGCAGTATCACTAAGTAATACAAGAAAAGACCTAAATGATGAAATAAAACAGATAGAAGAATGGCTGGTTGGTGTTAAATAACTAACTAATTAACTATCCTATCCAATTCATTAGGAAGATCAGAAAAGGTCAAAAGCAAAATAAAAATAAATGTGAAGCTAATAATGATAACATAAATAAGAGAGAATATAAGGCATCTACTGTTATACAATATAAGGAGGGGACATCTGAGACCAGCATTTACGTAGGAATCTTAATAAAGCAGGAATTAGGGTGGCATTCAAACCTACGAACTCACTCAGGTAGGACAAGCTCTGTAGGCTAAAAGACCCAGTAGGTTGACCCAATTAAACAAAATAATATAATTTACAAAATACCTTACAATGACTGTGAGGTCAACTATATAGGTGAAACTAAAGGATCTGGGGTAATCAGATTGTCGGAACATAAGAATTTAGTGGCTAAGGTAAGAATGGTTGACCCCGAGAAGATAAGTGATTTAGAAAAAAGCTCAGCAATTGCACTTCACGCATTAACACACAACCACACAATAGGGTGGGAGAGGGTTAAAATTCTAAAAAGTAATCTAGGTAGGTGGAGAGAGAGAGATTGATTACTGAATTCTGGTTCATTGAGTCTACACCCAACACATGCAACAGAAATGACTCAATAAAAATACTAGAAATATGGAAGACATTATTACAGCTAGTCAAATCAGAAGAGGATAATAAATATTAACTGATGACCACGTTTCGAGCACAAACTATTGCTCATAATCACATGATTATGAGCAATTTACTGTGTGATTTATCAAAATAAAATCTTATCCATAATGGAGTTATACTCTACCACAGTGCCCGAGTTTTATACTTATACCATGAATTCTAACTTCTACCAATTCGTGATCCCTACAAACAGACTCTTGAAAATTAGTCTGACGCTCGCTAGTGACTGGGTGCAGAATGAAGTTGCTTGGAATTCCAGTGAGAAATTGTGAGCAGTGGGATCCACTCGGTTGAGAGTGAGGATAGATACTTGCTGAGGACAGTCGGTTGGAGGTTGCGCTGTACATATCACGAATTAGTGGAGGTTAGAATTCATCGGTCGTGTCCCACTGTCTGAATGATCTGTGAGCTTGCCTTGTAACCGGAAGATCCTGAGTTGGGAACCTCGTGAGCGCGTACTGCCGACGAGTCCCAAACCAGGACGAAACAGCTGTCTAATACTCTCTGGTTTTAAGTGGTTCTCTAACAAATATATATATTGCACTAGGATAGGTGAACACATTTCTCAAAACTAGTTATATTTCAATACCAAGTGTTGGTTAGAGTTATAGGCATACTATATGGAAGCTACCAATAAGAGGAAATACAATTTTAAGGTTATATTCAAGAGCAGTTGTATAGAATATTGTGTTAGGGAAGAATAAAAAGGAAGTGGAAACAGTGGTAAAGTATGTGCATTCGATATAAATAAATAAAGAAAGGGGAATAATAAAATAACTATTGACACGCCTACAAAAAGCTAGATGACTAACCTTCGTATGCATGGAAAGCCACACTGGAAGACAATGCAGCAAATACCAGACCTTTTGAAAGATAATTAAGTAATGGTTATATAATTAGACTTGCTGTTTTCACAGAAAAAACATTTAAATAAATGAATGCATAAAAATTAAAGTGCTTTAAATGATTTTTCTTGTCAGAAACCAGCATGTGATATAGTATGGTTGATAGAGGGTTAGTGGTGGAGCAGACAGATTAATTTTGTTGCCCTACAAGCACCTCCAACTGGGTGCTCGTGTTGGATTGGGAAAACAGAAAGAAGGGACCGTGATGGATAGATCCTTTGAACATTCAACAAATAGCCTTAGATTAAAGAGATCAAACAGATTGGATTCATCAATCATCAAATGACTGATAGACACAGAACACTAAGCAAGCGCGTTGGAATCATACAGAATGATTAAAAGACAGAATAGCCTAAGTTTTTTTTCTTTAGTTTGATAAAGCTTCTGCAATAAAACTGCTAAAATCTAACCTATTTGTCCAAAAGGAATCCATCGATGGAGTTTTTTTTGCCCTGGTAACCCCCTCATTAGTAACTATTTGTCTTCTAATTCTATTATTTCATTTGACTTTCATGTTAAACTTGCTTTTCCTCTGATCTTTAGAGTTCTATAAATTGTATTGCATCGTCATTATCATATTCGCACTCGAATTCTTAGACACTAAACTTTAACTTTACGAATTTCTGAGTTGTACTCATTGCATTTTATATTATGTCTAGTACTGAAATCTATATATACATCATAGAGTAGGTAGTAGTAGTAGTTCTCAACAGTATTTTGCAGTTTCCTGTAGCTGACAATAAGCCACACCTCCTGTTGTATGAGGGCTAATGTTACTATCTGTCTGGCCGAATCCCAGTAGATGGAGTGGTGTTTGAACTTACGACCTAGTGGTTGGCAGTAGAGCACCTACACTTAAGCTGCACAACTCACTGGTACTAAGTACTTAGATGGGCTGAAAAAGAGGACCCATAAGATCTAGACTTTAAGGATGATTTGTATTTCATGTCGTAAGAAAAAAAAAACAAGTTTGCAGAACAGACAGTGGAGAGAACACTCCATGTGATAAACGCAGCGAAGACAGATATAATGAAAATACCCAATCAATGACAACAGACGCTAATCACCATCAATGGTCGAGATCTATTAAGGGAACTCTTCTCTGTCGCTTACCTCGGTAGCATCATTTCACTATCTACAGCCGGTGGTATGAATGAAGATGATAAAGCAGCTGAGAACCACGAAAGCAAGATTGGCTTGAATTTCTCTGAGATCAATCAATGTTGAGATATCTACAACACTTAGCATAAGAAACAACATCAAAATTGTTTTTTTTTTTAACACTGATGTCAAGTCACTGCCTCCATGTTATTCATAGAATTAGCATATCATTGAAAGCAATTCCAACAGTCTACAACAGACTTACACGAACAGCTGACTTCACTACTAGCTCCATAATAAAAATCAGATGCCTAGGCAGGATAAGCAACAAAGAACACTCTGATAGCTAGTGAACGAATCAACAACCTTTTACCCAATAAATTTGCTGGAGTAGAGGTGGATTGGAGACTCAAGCCAGACACATCACATATCAAGCTCTGGAATGGAACCCAAATGGGTAATTGAAGACTTAGGGGCGTCTGAGGATGACATAGAGGAGATTATGTTCGATAGAGAAAGAAAGACCAGATTTGCAGTATAAAATGATGCCATCATCCTATTTCACAGGTTTTCATCAGCTAACTGCAAACTACCTGAAATTACAATGGTTACAAATAATAACATTTCATACTTCATTGTTTGAAGGGTAATAAGAAGACATTATAAGGTGACGCATCTGGAATACAAGTATTATAATCTAAGTCACCATCAATTTATATACTGTCAAACTATGAAAGAAGAAAAAAGGGGGTGAGAGAAGACAGAAAACAGAAAAATCTAATAAACAGTGTCAACATGGCATCCAAGAAGGTCAAAGTTCATCAATTTGGAAACTTGCTTAGTGAATTGAGCTCACTAGTGTGTATGACTAATCAGTGTAATGAAAGTGATATGCTTACACCAAGGGAGTGAGAGATTGACCATAAGTTTGATCTGTGACGTTTGATTGCAATTGCTTCAGCAGTAAATCGTAGTAAATTCGCTGTCCTTTGTATGTTTGATATTTTGAAGGATTTTGAAATCTCGACAAAATGACCCGTATCCACAAGGTGTCTGGTAATTGCACCATATCACTTTCATCACACTGATTAGTCATACACGCTAGTGGGCTGAACTCACTAAGCAAGTTTTCAAGTTGATTAGCTTTGACCTTGTTGAGTTGCCATGTTGACACTGTTTATTAGATTTTTCTGTTTTCTGTCTTCTCTCACCCCCTTTTTTCTTCTTTCATAGTTTGACAGTATATAAATTGATGGTGATTGACTTAAATTATAATACTTGTATTCCAGATGCGTTCACCTTATAATGTTTTCTTATTACCTTTCAGGCATTGAAGTATGAAATGCTATTATTTATAACCATTGTAATTTCAGGTAGTCTGCAGTTAGCTGACGAGAACCTGTGAAATAGAGTGATATCATTTTACACTACGTCGGTGGCACAGTGGTTAGGACTCTCGTCGACCATGCACATGGTCCGAGGTTCGATCCCCTGCCGACGCACACCTGATATCTATGGTCGGCCTGCAAAATTTGGGTTACCGATATCCATGCTGAAAATTCCATACAGTGTGTAATCAAGCTGTAATCAAAATTTAAAAAAATATATCTGGTCTTTCTTTCTTCCTCTATCGGGATTCATCTTATTTACGTCAGATGTTATCCATCTTACCGGCTATAGAAGATAAGGAAAGGCTAAACTTAACTTCAAAGTGTCAATCGTAATTTAGAGATAAAATAGAGTGGAAATAAGATTGAAGAAGTCATAAAATGGTTTTATTATTATTATTTATATTATCCCTTTAATTGTGATAAGTAGATCACATGTGTGCGGAATGGAGTGGAATAAATTGAAGTGCTGATAATAAAAAAATTAACAACAAATCAGCTGCTGATTGAATGAATAAGGCAAAAACATAAATAAATAAATACGTAAATCAACAATTATTTATTCACATTAATCGACTTGTAGGGAGAACCACTCTGTTATCATATTATGATCATCAACATCAACCCCACAATCATTGGCAATAAACCATTTGATCGAAGATCAGCTGCTTGCTAGTGATTATATATGGAGATTGATATTTGAAATCTTTTTTATTGCAATCATAATATAGCAGTTAATTTTTTTTTTATTAATGGAGTGACAGTTTTTTAAAAGAGGAATTTTTTCATTATTTATGCGGGCAGAAAACCACATATTCAAAATTTAAATGAACTATTCGCCTAACTAATATCAATGAGATGCTCACTGGCGACTGGCCCTATTCAGGTGGGTTGTAGTGGAGTTCTAGTGGAAAGTCGTGACCAGTAGAGTGCAGCAGGTCGGGTGTGAGGACAAATACTCGCCACCGAAGACATTGGCTAGCGGTTGTGCTATATCGTGAATTGGCAGAAGTTGGAATTCATGCATTGGCCATTGGATTGGGTCCCAGTGGCTTAATGTTCTACGAGCTAGCTCGCCTTGTAACCAGAAGGTCCTGGGTTCGAACCCCGGTGAGTGCGTACCGCTGAAGAGTGTCAAGCACTAGGACGAAACAGCTGTCCAGTACTCCCAGGTTTTCCAATGGTTCTCTAACTAATGTCAGCTCATGATTAAATCCTGTAACTAATATAAATTAGTTAGATTTATCGGTTGATTATGGTGACTAGCAGTGGAATCTACACAGCACGTTTTGTTCTACCTGGGACTCATTATCTGGATGTATCCTCTGAGACTCGAACCGTGTACCCATCGATTCAAACGTCAATTAATGCGTATCCTCGAATTTAAAATAACTTCACGTTAACCCTAAGTCATTGTTGGAGTGTCCATACCGAGAGCCAACATGTCGATAGAGATCGAACATTTAGGTCAAACATAACGAATCATCAGGAAATTCAAAATTAACCTAAGGAACTAGATTACATCCATTTTATGGTGGTTAGCAGTAGGATCTAGACTGCCAGCTGATATATTACGATGGATGGGATAATGTGGCTCAGTGGACTAGAGGTTAACGGTTGGGTGAATGGAGCGATGCATAGTACTAGGTTAGAGTCCTAGTGGAGAGACGCCGTCAGTCACTAGGGGAGCAGACACACCCAACTGATAATTCCCAAGTACAGCGACACTGACTTTTTCCTTCTTATTGCTCGTCATCACCGGACCGAAATTAGATAGAGAACTACTGGCAAGCAAATACATCTGTTTAATCCCAATATCAAAATTTCACAGAGGTGTTAGGGTTAGCGAAAGGATGCTTGTGAATCACAAAGTAAGGTTAGTGTTTAAGCTGTTGGCATTCTGTAGTGAGCATGGAGAGCTCTGCGACTCTGTTGAATTTATTCGTTAATAACTGATAATAATGACATTACTACTTATGTCAACAAATCTATGCCCTCCTTATTACTATAACGGTGGAAGATAGTGAAATTGGCAGGGAACTACTTATTGTTCAGTTCATTAAATCCGTTCCTCTGCCATTCGGTATTCTTGACGCCGATATTCATATTTATATCAGCATCTATATACTACTTATAAATTTTTCAGTAGCACACGCCAGATTACTACATTTCTCTTAATTTTTATGCTTGGTCGTTGTTTCTATTGACTGATTGACTGACTGACTTATCAGCGTAGAACTGTGTATAAAAACTCATCATACAAAGTTTCTACACTTCCAATCACAGCAAATAAAAGTACAGGGATGAAACATAGGCAAACGGTTAGATGAAAATTAATGACCATTTTAAGCGCCAGGAAGATGACACAGCATGTGGATAACTTCGGAACTATGAACAAAAGCAGTCTTCAACCGTCGGATCTTAGCAACACAATGACCTCTGTCGTGCAGTCTAAACCCAACACAAGGCCCAAACTAACAGTGATTGAGGTCATGGATTATTAATTCAATGTTTACGTTTTACGTTTAACTACCCTTAACTCGTTTCCAGGCTAATTCTTTATCAGTTAACAGTACTCGTCGGGAAAAAAAATCGGTCAGCATGTGTAGCACTTATGTTAACTATGTCAATAGACTGATCTCAGCACAATTTCGTCGGCTAGCTTTACCTCCTTACGTAGCACTTTACACTTAATCTCACTACTGCTGGCTATATTCTAGAAATTAAAACCAGAAAAAGAATAGAGCTGTCTGCAAGCCTAAATTGTAGACAACAATTTACTTCTATGTATAAGTCCCAAATCTTGGTCGTGAGAGAAAACAAGAACAAAGCCTAACCTTGAGGAACTCAACAGCCAATCACAGCAGACTTAGCGTGGTCGGATAAAATTCGCAGATATATCACTGGACTGTCTAAGAAACGGCAACAAAGAGATGACAGAATAACCTTCAGCAAGAAAACAACTAATCAGAAGACGTTGCTTCTCGGCAACAATAACGCTAATAATAATGTACATAAAAATCTAGGAATTCCTGTTGAATTTTCTCAATAAACGATCTGTTGCCTGGCCGTTGTCTTCTATCGTTACAGAGTCACCTATGGTTTGAACTTCCTAATCTCTATAGATCTTTCAGCTTAAATGCCTATGATACAGTCGTTTGAAGGGTATGCAGAGATCACGTATGCGTTAAAGATGAGTAAAGTCAATTTAGATGTTAAATAAGCCTCATACATCTGTGCTAAGATAACTAGAATGACAACATTATAGATATAAAACCTAATACATTTGGTTCCCTTGATAAATTTCGATAAAGAAAAGAAAACGAAATATGCAGTATAAAATTTATTATTATTATTATCCTTTAATTCCTAGAGGAACATAGGGCTTCAGCTGCGCATCTCTATTGCCTTCTGTTTTCTGCCAACTTTTTCACCCCGCTCTAAGTCTGCCCACATGCTTTCATCTCACCTTCACATGACCTCTTCCAAGTCACCTTTGGACGACCAACTCGGGTTTCACTCGAGTGATGATCTGATGTGTGATGTCACTTCATGGTTTACTCAGCGTATGGCCTAACCAGTCCATCTCCATTTCTTCCTGCCTATTCGTTTCACAATCGGTTCCTGATGGGTTGGTTCGCTCCCAGAGATCCCTCCCTGTTGCTGATCTTTTCTGGTCGGCCATCTGATCTTGAGTGGTATTGAGCGAAGACAGCTGTTAATGAAGGTCTGTAGTTTGTTTGAGGTGCTCTTTATGACGCGCTGGCCAGGTCTGTGATCCTTATTGTAAGTAGCACTGACTTCACATTGGAGTTGAAAATCCGGATCTTATTTTTGATGATGAGTGGGGCTGTTGACTTCCACACAGACTTGAGAGTAATGAAAGCTTGTCTTGTTTTTCCGATTCTTGCTTTGATATCCTCGTCAGTTCCGTCAGCCTATAGTTGAAACGATGCTTCCGAGGTAGGTGGGTAGTTCAAAGAGGTTGTTTCTTTGAGGTTCCTCCAATTTATGCTGGCTGATTGTTGTCTGTTGTTGTTGGTGGTGTTGGCGAGGAATTTTCATCACCTCTGTTTTATCTATGTTCACCTGAAGTTCTATCTTCTGTGGATGCTTCTGGTGCCAACTTGTTGCTTTTCACTTGCATATCTTCCAGTTTGTGGGAAATCAGACATATATCATCGCTGGCTAAGTCCAGATCCTCCAAGTCTTTTGTGTGAGTCCATTTTATGCCTGTTCCCTCGTTGGTTCCCGTTGTCTGTCGCATTATCCAATCTACTGAAATCAGGAAGATCATTGGCGATAGTAGACAGCCTTATCTCACTCCCGTCCTCACTTCGAAGGCTTCCGTAAGTTTCCCGTTGTGGATTACTTGGCATGCAGCATTGTCGTATAACTGTTGGATGAGGTGTATAATTGTCGATGGGACCCCGTAGTAGCGAAGTAGTTTCCAAATGACCTCTCGATCGACGCTGTCGAAGGCCTTTTCAAAGTCGATGAAGTTGAGATAGAGAGGTGACTGCCATTCCAAGCTTTGTTCACTGATGATCCGTAGAGTGGGGTATAACTTATAGACGAAGGACAGCAAATTTACTACAATTTGCCGAAGTGATCCCAATCAAGTTATTTAAACCAGACTTATGCATACAGAAGGAGAGTGTGAATAACCTCTCACTTACTATCTTGGCAACTGAATTTTGATTTTGATTACATTAATAATTAGTCTTCTAATTCATTGATCTCAACTCACTGAACAAATCTTAATCTCATAAACTGTAACCGCTTTTGTTTTTTGAGTTGCTATGTGAACCTACAAGCTAACACTGTTCTGTTAATTATTTTTTCTGTTTTCTGTCTTACCCCTCCCTCCTCTTTTTAACTTTAAAAGCGTATAAATTGATGGTGAAATCTTAAACTAAAAATTGTGATGCCTTCATTTTGGATGCGTCAGTTTTATGTTTCTCTACTACCAGTCAAACATTAAAGTATGTTATATCATCTATATAACCATTGCAATTTCAGGTAGTGGTGCGCAGCTGATGAGAGAACCTGTGAAATAGAATGACGGCATCATTTTATACTGCAAATTTCGTCTTCCTTTCTTTATCGAAAGATATGAAACCATTTTATTTGCCCTAATAGATTAAATTTTGAAGACAAGACTGCCTACTAATTCGAAAACAAAATCTATGGTGCTATCAAGACACCAATGTGTAACTTAACTTATTGAAAAAATGAACTCCATCCCGGTAAGTCAATGGTCAAAAGGACTCGTCTCACAGCCTGAAGGTAGTGAGTGGGTTCAATCTCAGGCAGCGAGGTCATGGGAGTGTAGTGCTAGGGACGCAACATCAACCTGAGATCGAGCACTTCGGTTCAATCAATCGACGGGAAAATCTCAAATTCACTTAAATAATTAATATGACCCGTTGTACAAGAGGTGGTTCTTTTAGCCCAAGTGGTTTAGTGGATAACTCGGTTTGGCGTTTGAAACTATGGGCACTGGGTTCGAGCCTCGGTGGTGGGAACATCATCACTCATTCACTGAGAAATGCAGGTACATCCAGCTGTCTGACGAGTCCCAAATAGGACGAAATGTGTATCCGGGATTCCACTGCTAGTCACCATCCACTAATTAAATACGCAACATCTTTCCCTGATTTTCGGTGGTTCTCTCTCTCTACCTGAAGTCAATTCGTAGCCCTAACTTGGAAAAAGACTCACTCACTATGCACTAAAAAGTAAAACCACAGGATAGGAAATCATTCACTGACTTACCGATAGATATAACGTATAAACATATAAATCCATGAGATAATAATGAAAGGTGGTGGTAATAACGGTCTTGATTCATATTCAATTATCACAGCATAACGTAAATAATTGTAGACCAGTTCAGATTGTTGACGAACACTAGCAAATATATCATTGAATACAGCGATGACAACATTGACAAATAGAATAATAGAATATAACAGATAGATGACTGTTGCAATGGGAACAATTTCAAGAAATGGTGCAGTTTGTGATTCAACTGGCCAATCAACAGCTAAAATTTAATAAAAAGAGAAAGGGGGGGGGGAACAGAAGGATTAATTATACATGACGAAGATAAGGAAAACAGTCAGTATATCATAGAGACAGTAGACTATTTGTGTGAATCGAAAATTGACTAAATGCAAAATATCATAAAAAACGAGAAAGAATAATTGCATGAAGAATAATGAGGATTCAATAGACCTAGGAGATCAGAATGACAGAATACAACTGCAATATGGAGTACTGTTTTGAAATATATTATCAACTATTTAATTGAATGCTAGATTTTCCCGTCGATTGATTGACTGCACCGAAGTGCTCGGTCTCAGGTTGACATGCCGGCTTCTTGTGCCCAAATAGCCCAAGTGGTCTAGTGGATAACGCCTTGGCGTTTGAAACTATGGGCACTGGATTCGAGCCTCAGTGGTGGGAACATCATCATTCACTGGGGAATGCAGGCATATCCGCTGACGAGTCTCAAATAGGACGAAATGCGCATCCTGGATTCCACTGCCAGTTACTATCCACCACTTATATCATCAAATATCTGTAGCCATTGATTGCATTTATTTATTTTATTGCATACATTTATCAATAATAATATTAATATTATTACTGGTATTACTAAATATAGTGTTTGTTGACACTTGTTGACACCTGATGCCACAGTCAGAGTCGTTACCACTGACCTATTCAGGTGGTGATTGGTTTAGTGTAGGGCTGTAGTGGATAGTTTGGGTTCACATCGTGGCCGAAGCACCCAGAAAATTTGCCTGGTAGGCAGGAGAGCCGGAGAATAGGAGAGGTTAGGCGTAAAGCTAAAGATTCCACCGCATAAAGCGACACAGCTAAAACTTGAAGCCTTATGCCCTACTTGGAAAGTAAAGCAACAAAGAAAATGAGGAAGGCAAACCTTCGCTTGTTTGTAAACAGTTTTTCTTAATTTTGATATTCTTCTAGTGGTTAAATAATTGGGAATAGAGATAAAAATATTCACCTTTACAAAGTAATTTCTCAACTGGATACAGTTTCAACTTTCTATTGAATTCTGATCAAGTAAGTGATCAGTTTCGAGGTGTCTCGGGTAGATTTAAACGATTTCTTTAGCATATTTGTGTGCTAGCAACCAACTACCAGTGGTATTCTTCTGAAAAGAAACGCTTTCACTACAGAAAAAAACTACTGAAAAATACTATTGCAATCATTTTGGTAGGATGAGAAAGGTAATGTGGCTTTATTACTCAATTTAACTTTGAGAAATTGAACACCAGCCATTCTATCTCAACAAGCTCATCCTTCGGAATGATCGAAAATATATGAAGGGTGACCTGTCAAAGACAATACGCTTTCGCCTTCTATGCATTTCGGAAGTTTTAGCTATTCAGATGGGGAAACCAGACTTCGTTGCATAACAAAAAGAGAATTAATTATTCAACCACCTCCTGAAACCAATCAAATCCCTACAAACCAACACTTGAATGACAAAATATGATTGGTTAGTTTTTTATAATAAGTGTAGGCTGAGTTAACTTGTCTTAGTAATTCACTCTTTTCAGTGAATTCATGTCACATTGTGAATACATTCATTTTTTTTCTTCACTATTATCTGTTCCGAGTGGAACATGGGACTACAAGCATGAACCACTGAAGTTTTGGTAGCAAAGAGTTGCTAGGCCCACACTCAACCTTTCTTCTTTATCAGTCTTACTACCGGCTGAGCGAGGTTTAATAGTGCGTTTATCTGTTAGAAATAGAACCCAAACACCTCTGACGCACTCATCCATTTGCGAAACTTCAAGAATTACTTTATTGTATTTCAAAATTCAACTTTCACTGATTCATTGGTCAAAAGTTTGTACAATTGGCTGACAGAAATCTGGATATTGGCAGTACTCCGACTAGCAGTCTGAAGATTACTCTAAGACCGAAATCTGGTTCAAATCCATCAAAGAATGAGATTTTCCTCTCACCTTCAGTCACCTTTTTCACAACGGTACTGATCTGTCTTGGGTTATCAGACTACTGTTTATGTGGTCAGCTATAGTTGAACGCAAAATAAAACCCTTCTCCGTTGCAGGAGGCCTTTAGTGCTACATGACTCAACTGCCAACCAGATCGTCAGCGGTAATCCCCAGTTGTCATACAAATGAGTGTTGCGTAACTCTCCACTGATCACTATACTAGCTGCCCAGTTAAGTCTTCTCCCGTCCAACTTAATCACATCAAGTTAAGAGAAGGGAGTGCAGGTTGCTATTTGGAAGTTAGGAATATGAAGCACCATTTACTCTGATTCGTTTGCCATCAAACAATTAAACAGAAAATAGTCAATTATCGGAATACAAAATTATATAACTGAAAGAAAATGCATATTTATGGGTTAACACTTAAAAAGAGATACAAGTTTTAGGGGTTGAATCATCATCATCTGCATCTTGGATCGTATGGACGTAACTGGTAAGTGATTTACACCTAATGAAAGAATAAGTGATAACTAATAGTAATTGAATTCACTCTCCAGACCTCCAAACGGGAGACAGAAAGGTGGGCCTAAGTCCTAAAGTGACATAGAGGAGATCGTCTGAAAGAAGGAATTTAAAGTTTATGGACAGTCGTGGAGATAGCTGAACTCAAAAGGAACAATAACATGCAGAAAGTACCGAAGCGATTTTAGCTGTAGGTGAAACATTCGCGTATAATTCTTTTTCGATACAGTTCTATTTTTGTTGATTCCTTTATGCGAAGGAGGTACATCTGTACCCAATAGTATAATTCATTAACATGCCGTTTGATGTCGATTTCGTCTGACATGGTGATTATTATCAACGGGTTCTTGTTATTTATTTTCATTCAATAAATAATCCCGATGTAGGTATCAGTGATGAAGCTCTTTTCGGCGAATTCATTTACTTTAGCTGTACAATCATTTCTTTTTACTCATTTACGTTCCCAGTGGAACATAAGGCTTCAGGCTAGAAGCTTGAAGTTTCGGTAGCAGGGGTGTTTAATTTTAGAGGATGGAATAGCTAGCGCCAGTCTCATGTCCAACCTTCCCTCTTTACCAGTCTTATTAATAGCTTAGCAAGGTTTAGGAGTGAGTCGGCCCGAATAGAACCCCGAACCACACGCGTTGTTAGTTAGCATTCTACCACCAAGCCACCGACGTACAATCATATTCACACACTATTTGTCTTCATCACAAAAGAGTTGGCTTGTCATAACCACAGTTGCTAATATTATTAATCAATACATAAGAAAACCTGAATAAGGACATTAGAGAGAGATATGTAATGAGACAGATAATTTTATGAATGAGTTGTATTCAGGTGAACATATGATCAAGAGAAAACGAGATAATTTACGTAAGAGTTAGAAAATAAAGAAATTAAGTTGGCAGAAAATGATGGGGGGGGGCAATGTCTTCGGTGGCGAGTGTTTGTCCTCACATCCGACCCATATAGATACGTTTTCTATAGTTTGGTTTGTAAGGGTTTGTTATGTTTGTACGAGTTGATCACGGATTGATATCAGTTAGTGAACCATTGAAAACCAGGGAGTACTGGACAGTTGCTGTTTCATCCTAGTTTGGGAATCATCGGCAATACGAACTCACTGGGATTCCAACCCAGGACCTTCCGGTTACAAGGCAAGCAAGCTCGTATACCATTCAGCCACTGGGACCCGATTCAATGGCTCATAAATTCTAACTTCTACCATTTCGTGATTTAGCAGCTGTCCAGTACTCCCTGGTTTTCAATGGTTCTCTAACTGATATCAATCTGTGATCAACTCGTAAAAACATAACTAACCCTTACAAAACCAAACTATAGAAAATATTGATGGGTGTTAAAAGTGACCATATGTTGTGGCGGTTGTTAATAGTCAATCTATTCAACATTTATGTGTGTATTTTTAAAGTGCTATGTCATGGATTGACAGAAGCTAGAATTCATGGGCCAGTGGCTTAATGGTCTACGATCTCGCTGGCCTTGTAACCACAAAGTCATGGATTCGAACTCCACTGGAGTGGGTGCGTACTGATGAGGAGGCCTAGACTAGGCTGACGAAACAACCAGTTGTCCAGCACTCCCTTGCAGGTTTTCCAATGGTTCTCTAACCCATGTCAGTTCATGATGAAATCGTCCAACCAATCAAGCAAAAACAAAATCCTTACAAAATCCATTATTCTTAAAGTTGGCCAAAAATAGACATAAAAGTACTTTATTCAGTAGGTAACAAACACACATACACACACACACATACGCAAACACACGAAAACACAATGATTTCATCAAATTCGACCTTCATAGGTTTTATACATTTCATTTATCTAGATATATATTTCATAAATGTTGTAGTAAATCACATGAGATAATGCCCTGAATAAGTCACTTTCACCCCCCAAACTGACTGATTGATTGAACAAAGTTTTGCCCACCCATTTCATCAATACAATCTTGATAATGTGAGAAGAATAAATAAATAACCAAGGGTATTGACTCGAAATAGATTTATGATTACTTATATAAGTACACTTTTTTACCTCCTTCGCATAATAGTAATAATAATCATTATCATTAATGATTCCAGTGGAGGGCATTTATCGGTAATAAACAAATTTAGAGAAGGCCAGTAATAATAATAATAATCATAATAATAATGTGATAATTAGAGTGATAAATCCCTTAGAGACGAGAACTACTAATCATTTTAAGCATTTCGTACAATCTTTTTTGATTTTGATTTTTTTTTTGATTACAGCTTGATTTCACACCGTATTTTTTGGTACAGGTATGGAATTTTCAGCATGAATATCGGTAGCCCAAATTTTTCAGGCCGACCATAGATATCAGGTGTTCGTCAGCAGGGGATCGAACTCCGGACTATGTGCATGGTCGGCGAAAGTCCTAAGCACTGTGCTACCGACGCACAATGAATCGAGAAACTTACTGTTATTATTTTACTACTATATAAAAATATAACTTTTATATTAGATCAGTCTGTTCGATATTATATTACTCTGTTTTCTTCCTTAACGTTCCCAGTGGAGTACACACAGGGCTTCAAGCTAGAGGCTTGAAGTTCAAGTAGCAGTAGTGTTTTATTTCTACGGGGTGGGATTAGCTAGCCTGTCTCACGCCCCAATCTTATTTCCTTACCGGTCTTATTATCACAGCTTAGCGAGATTTAGGAGTGCGTCAGAGAGTAAGGTTGTGGTAATACATTTGATATAATGTTAGGTGGTTGGAGTAGAAAGCCAGGAAGTCCTCAGTCTTAGATTTGTACTTGTTTACACTCCTCACCCTTGAACAGAACTGGGACTCGAATCCATGTCAGCCAGTGTTACAGACATATGTTTGCTAATGAGCTGTTTGAGCACACACTGTTGGCCTCCTATAGGACTGTAATAGAGACACTGGTATAATTATGAGCAAAAAACTATGCTTGAATTTTCATTCAGTTATTGCTATTTTATACCACTGTGTGTAACGTCAAACAAACTTATTAGGCAAATTCATCGTCGTAGTTCCGAACATCACATCCAACGTGGTTAAGCAAGGGATAAAAAAAATATCTATTCGTAGTTCTATTTCAGCCCACCTCGTTGATACTGAGCATAAGATTGATGTGAATACTGAATTTAAAATTATTTATTGCTACTACCATATAAAAACATAACCCTTATATTAGATCAGTCTATTCGATGCTATTACTTTATTTTATTCTTTTACGTTCCCAGTGGAACACACAGGGCTTCAAGCTAGAGGCTTGAATTCCCAGTAGCAGTAGTGTTCTCTGAGCTGGTTGGTTTAGTTGCGAAGTACTCAAGAGCAAAATGCAGTGAAGAAACTGAAGAATAGAAAAGATATAGTTATTCTACCGGCTCACAATAATCCTGGACACAGAAGACTGCATAAAGAAAGCAGAGGATTTACTCAAAGATAATAAAGTAAATCAACAGTTGACGAAAAACCCTATACAAATATTAGATAACAAAATCGAAATAAAGTTAAATAAACTAACGAAATCAGGACAGATTACTAAACAAGATCAATGGCGAATGAAATCCAATGGACCTATTTTACCTCGATCCTATGGTAGACCAAAACTACACAAACTAAACATTCCCTTACGACCAATCGTCTCGCTTCCAGGAACACCAACATATAATCTATCTAAAGAACTTTTCAGGAAGTTAAATTACCTAACAGACTCATGCGACCATTCTATCAATTCGTCAATCCAATTTTTAGAGAAAATCAAAGACATTCAAGTGGATGACAATGAAATAATGGTGTCCTTTGATTTTACAGCATTATACATATTTCAGTTAGTCCAAAACTAGCAACAGAAACTATGCAACAGTTAGTCTGTAGTGACGAAAACATAAAAACGCAGTGATGTTCAACTTGAATAGAACTCATAGAATTATGCCTTATAACATACTTCCAATTCAATAATCAAATATATGAACAGATAAAAGGAACACCAATGGGATCATCGCCCACATGAGGATTAATAGCTGAAGCCGTCATGCAAAGATTAGAATTAATAGCTCTGCCTATAATTAAACCAAAAGTTTGTATAATTAAAAGAAATGTGATTTGGAATATACCTACAAATTAATAAACAAAATATTTGAAGACATCAAATTCACCACAGGAGAAGAAGAATTAGATAACAAAATCCTACTTATAGATGTCTTAATTAGGCTAACTAACACAGGAACTTAGGAACACAAGTAGGTAGAAAGTCAACGCATACAGATCAAATACTCAACTATAGTAGCAATAGCCCAATTACCCACAAAAGAAACTGTATGCAGACATTGTTTAAAAGAATTCAAACACACTGTAGCACACTACTCCGGTGTTGAAGAGAATGGAAGGAAGATACCTTTTAACCGTCTTCAAAATGAATCGATATCCTCACAATTTCATCAAAAAGTGTGTGAAATCGAGTTATAACACCAGCAAGAAACTATCAGCATAGATGACGAGAAAATTCATCCTACCATATATAAAAAATATCTCTGAAATAACAGCTAGAATATTGAAACCGTTTAAAATAGATATAGCACACAAGTCAGCCAGTCCAATAACTTAATTTGATATTGTACAAACCGAAAGATACAACAGAAAAAGGAGATAGGATTAATACCATTTACAAAATGAATTGTATGAACCGTAACAGACATTACATTGGTCAACAAAGTGGGCGTCCCCTTCGAATCAGAATCCAGGAACACAAATTAGCCGTGGAAAGACATGATATATATTCTTTCATATCAATGCATGTAGATAATTACGGATATCAGCTTGATTGGGATAATGTCGAAATTTTAAACACAGGAAACACCAAAATTGCCAGAGAATTCCTGGAAGCCTGGCACTCAAATGAATATGCGATTAACAAACATATTAATATAGACCAAATCTACCAACTAATAAAAAGTAAATCATGTGATCAGAAAGTTTAAAATCCAAGTCAATAGAAAATGATCAATACAAATGTAAAGATGGTTACCGGGAGACGCAGTTATATCACTCATGAAGAAATTTAAATCATTTCACTTTATGCTACATATTGCTCTGAAGATGTTGTCCAGCAGGGGGACGGCGAAAGCTCCATAACTAAACCAACCAGCTCAGAGAACACTATTAATTGTAAACCATCCACCTGAGCTACAAATCTTCTCTACTGGTAGTGCCTTATTTTTACAGGGTGGGATTGATAGCCTGTCTCACGCCCAATCTTATTTCCTTACCGGTCTTATTATCAGCCTAGCGAGATTTAGGAGTGCGTTATCCGTGGATAGCAACCCCAGACTTTATGCGTGGTTGGCGAGCATTCTACTGCTAAGTCAACGATGCCCTAGTAATACAGTATTAATAAATGGATGATGTTTCGAACACAATTTATTGCTCATAATCATTTGTCAGCTTCACTGTCTTCCGTCTCTTTTTGGTGCAATTTCCTATGCATACTCGGGTTAGTAATCTGGAAAACGTTTCAACCATTAGAATATATTCACTTGCATGTAATCACCCGATACACTAAGATGGAGTGAAAGTATTCAGAGAGTAATATAATCGAGTAGGGACTGAGGTTAATCACCGAATCTTTGTCCATCTAATCAACGCGAAAAACGTGTAATCAAAACGACACAATGCAATGAAAAATAACAGAGAGAAAGACTGTAAAAATCAAATCAACAGGTTGTGTGTTAATACATTTGATATAATGTTAGGTGGGATTGAAGTCAGGCGCCTGAAAGTCCTCAGTCTAGGATTTGTACTTGTTTACACTCCTTACCCTTGAACAAAACTGGTACTCGAACCCGTGACACCCAGTGCTGCAGACATATGTTGCTAATGAGCCATTCGAGCATACTGTTGACTTTCCGTAGGACTGTAATATGCTTGAACTGTCAGCCAGTTACTGTTACTATACCACTGTGTGTGAACATCAAACAGACTTATTTCATATGGAGTTTTATTCTACCACAGTGGCTAAATCGTGATTTAGTAGTATGCAAGAAGTGTTGAAATTGGAAAAAGAGGCATGATAAAACTATCTGGGGCAATTTTTCTGTTTCATTCAGTGAGCAGCAAGATGGAATCTTTTTATTTTCTAAATTACTTTTCGGTTGGTTAATTCTACATCGACTTACCATTTTTATCTAATTTCAGCTAACAATTCTCATCAACAAAGGCAATGGCTCAATATGCGTAACATATTTCCTAGTCATTTTAGTCAAAGAATATTCACAACATCATCGATCGACTTTCTCTGCCTTCCTTCTTACACAACAGTTTACGACTAACCAGTAGGGTGCAGCAGGTCGGGTGTGACGACAAATACTCGCCACCGAAGACATTGGCTAGGGGTCACTCTATTTCGTGAATTGGCACAGGTTAGAATTCATGCACTGGCCATTGCATCGGGTCCCAGTGGCCTAATGGTCTACGAGCTCTGGTCCTGGGTTTGAACTCCACTGGGGTGGGTGCATACTGATGAAGAGTCCCAAACGAGGCTGACGAAACAGCTATCTGTCCAGTACGCCCTAGCAGGTTTTCCAATGGTTCTCTAACTGATGTCAGCTCATGATGAAATCCTGTAACCTCATTATTACCGATTGTATTGCATTATCCAACACGGGAGTATAAAAGTAGGTATTATTCATAGTCAAAACCGCTTTCGACAGCCATTCCTAGAAGCTGTAAAAAAGGACAGAATAAACTGTTGCTCAGTACACACATCCTCTCGATAGATAGCCGGATATATCAAGCATACACCAAAGACGATGCAAACTTCAGGTGGGTCTCTTTCGTATCTTTGTTGAAATTTCATCAGTAATCAGTCTATTCAGACTGATATGATCCTTCAAAATAAATGAAATGGTCAACACACTCACTATACACCGTTCCTCTTTATATCCTTCAAAAAAAGGAGTTACTCCGGTCAAATTCCTCAGCATGATCTTACATTTGGAAGAGGTGGATCACATGCGAAAAAGAATAACCCAAAGTAAAGAAAATAATGTATAAATATGACCGACAAAACTTACGATCTATTTCACCAGCGTATACTTCACCATATAGCATAAAATATGGTTTAAGCATAATGCCTTTGATGGCTTCAAGATTAACATGTGTATGCGTTGGATACATAATTCCTTGACGTATTGTACCAAATGCCAATAGTGGAAGAAATAATAAAGTAAGCATAGGAATCATTAAACGAACCTGTAATGCGAATAAAATAATAGAGAATTTTTGTGGGGGTTGGGGGAACAACACCAATATCATCAGTTACAATGCACAAATAAAAATACAAAGACTGGTAAAAAAAAGAGACGGTTGATTATATAAATTATCATTAAAACGAATTTACCTCTCCTGCTTAAAATGGATAGAACAGAAGCGGTCAATTTAGATTTGAAATTTTTCAGGTAGTTTAGAGGAATGCTTTAATCGTATCAGATGTTAGGTTTGGCTATTTTAAGGATGTTTTATCCCCTTCGTTTTGAGTTCGATCACGGACTGGTATCAGTTAGAAAATCATTGAGAACCAGTAGGGAGTACTGGACAGCAGGTTTAGTTCTAGTTTTGAACTCTTTGGCAGTACACATCCACCAGAGCTCAAATCCAGGACCTTCCAGCTATACGGTAAACTCTTAGACTATTCAGACACTGGTATACGGTTCAACAGCCCATGAATTCCAACTTCTACCTATTCGTGATTATAGCACGACCGCCATTCAATGTCATGTGTCATCACACCCGACCTACTAGACTCCACTGGTCACGACTTATGATTAAAACTCCAAAACTCCAAACTTCTTCCTGTAGCCAGTCACTGGTGTGTATTTCATTTGTTTCAATCCATGGTCAAACTTGAAACAAATGAAGATTTTGTTTTACTCAGCTTTGATAGCTGTTGTGGTATTTGATATACTATGCGCAAAAACACATTAATCCAACCCATCAATATCTCAAAGAAGAATAATCAACGTGTATCTATCAATTTAACTACTCTTGTGGAGCCAGTTAGTTGCACAGGCTGTAAATTAGGCGGGTTTCTCGTAGAATTTCTGAACATCACCCTGCTTGGTGGTTAAGCAAAGGATAGACAAAATCTATTCGCAGCGCTATTCTATCTCATCTTGTGGACACAGAACACAAGATTGACGTTAACCATGCTTTCAGGGTCATTTACTGCATACCAAAGAATCTCAATTTTACCTTTAGAGTTCTACTACTAAATATTACTGAGGCTGGCTGTTGGGATCCATATTAACAAGCCTAATTTGTGCATCCAAAAGAAGTTAGTTCAGACATTATCATCACCTTGGCCATTTAGGTTTGAATGATCCTCAATTTTTGTGGAATTTTCCTAACTTTAGTTGATATTCTATTTGCTACTATATCTTTATTATTATTATAATTTAAGCATCTTTAATGAACTGTAATTTCATTGTGATCATACTTTACAAATTGATATTATTTAAAAAACACTAATATTGTTATTAACTACTAATCTAGAATATTCTGTGTATATAAACATGTATATAATTGTAGAGCCAGAAGAGGAATCTATCGAAAGGGATATTCTTTGCTCAATTATTTTGTGTTTTATAAATGTCTGAATGAATATTTTCGCTATATTTTAAGACTTAATTTAAAATGAAGTCATGAATTCATCAGATTTCGGGAAAAAAAATTACACTGACATCCAATCAGGTTATAAATTTCACGTGAATAAATCAAGGCGTATGAAACAATCAGATAGGTCTTATCTGAAAAGAAGTAGAGGGTAAAGCAGAGTTTCACGTATAAATGCTCGTGTGTATTTTCGCGTGTTTGTTCTATGCATGTGGAAGTGGTATCGCGTAAACAGAGACGACTAGTAGTATGATTAAATTGTTAATAGTCGCCGTTGGAAGATTAATTAAATGTGATAAAAATTGTTTTAAACGATGAACACTGACCAGATATGCGCATATATATATATATATATTAATATAATATTGTAGAACTTGAATAAGGCATTAAGAAGACAAATTTCGCGAGATGATGGCATCATTTCGTAGTTTCTCTACGACCGCTTTACAACTAACATGGTTAACAATAATAAAATAAAATACATGACAATTACTCAGTTAAATAAAAAACACAAAAGTACATACTAATAACAAATCATATTTAGATAGGTCATGTAGTCCATGGATTGAAGTCCATTGATTTTTCTACACATAGTTTAGGCTGTATGTGATTAATCCTCCAAAGTGCTTCCGTCACCTTTAAATAACCAACCTTGAATTAGAGTTATGTGGTGAAATAATTGTGAAACAGTCATTGTTATGGATTTTGTGACCTGACATTAATAAGTGTTTTGCAATGGATGATGATGGATTTCTATTAAGATTAATCGCATTGGGATTTTCTATATGATTTAGTAGCCATTTTGGAACATGTTCTTTTCGACAACCACATTGGAACATTCTGTTGGTTCTACCTATATAGGTGTCACCGCAGCTGCAGGTGAACTTGTAGATATTGTTTGAAGTAGAGTCCACAGAATTTCGTACTTTAATCGTATGTACAAGGATCGAAAATGTTCGGCAAATGAGAAAAAGAGATGTGGCGGCGTAGAATGTGCGTTTGATGGCTGATCGAAGTCTTTGAGCTAGCTGTCAACTGCATAATCTGGTCGCCCTTGAATGGTGGGTTAATAAAGATAGCTTTCTTTGATACAGAAGCTGTCTTTTCGAGATGTGGTCTTTCTTTACTGTGACAAGTGATAAAGTTTTCCGGATAACCATTAGCTAATAAAACTGAGTGTATATGTTAAAACTCATCCATCAATGTGTCACTCGTACATATTTTTCGATCCCTTGAGAACAAACATTTCACCAGGGAACGTTTATACTGGATAGGAACAAAACTGGTAAATATGACTAGTCATTAGTATGTACTTTTGTTTTTCATTTAACTGAGTAATTGTCATGAACTTTATTTTATTATTGTTAACCATTTTAGTTGTAAAGCAGTTGTAAAGAAACTACGAAATTATGCCATCATTTCGCGAAATTTGTCTTCTTAATGCCTTATTCAAATTTATCAAAGGGACTAATTGTTTTAATATTGTAGAAGTTCAAAAATTAAAATGTTTTCTTGTATATGTTGCGTGAGAATGTATCAGTTAAAATTCAGTGGAGTGTGAAAGTAGTAGTTGAACTAGGCGCTTCCTGTTTGCATAACTCAAAATCAGGTCAAGATTTGACTAGCTGGTAGGAACACAGAAGATAATTATAAATGACTGCTTTTTGTTATTCACGGTGAGGTGGATTAGTATGAAGCTGCCAACAGTCTGTATTTTTTTTCTTTTATTCTTTCACGTTCCTAGTGGAACATAGGGCTTCAAACTAGAGACTTGAAGTTTCTGTAGCAGTGTTTAATTTTACAGGATGGGGTTGCTAGCCTCATGCTCAACCTTTCCTCTTTACCAACTTTTATTTCTGGCTTAAAGAGGTAAGGGAATGCGTCCGTGGCCGGGGATCGAACCCCGGACCATGTGCATGGTCAGTGAGCAACCCGACCGCTGTGCCACCGACTGTCTCTATAGTCTTCGTTTATTCATACTGAACCATATTGAGTGCGAGGAGAGAGAGAGAGTAGAATTCCTAGACTAGAGGCCAAAGTACTAGCCTCCCTTATTCTTGGTGGTGGTGGTGCTGATTTGGGGGGGGGGTTGGCGTTCTCTAAGCTAGACGGTTTATAATTGCGAAGAAGTTATCCAGAAAGGCAATGAAACCTTCGTGATGAAACATAGAGTTTAGAGAAGGAGACAATACTGAAACCATCCATTAAAAGGTGTAGAACTTCTTCACAGTTTCAACCGCTATCATTGGAGCAGTAGAAATGATAAGTGTAGTAGAAAGTGGTTAGTTAAAGTATGTTTATCACCTAATTTTGGTGTTGTGATTGGACATATTTTAAAACTGGAATTATAATTTCCCGCATCAAATAATTACTGTATGGACCAGTGCCTAGTTCATCGATTAATATATCATCAAGTGCCTAGTTCGTACGGAATCGGGCTGATTTCCACTAAGATCACGAGGTGACATCAATTTAACCAAAACCACTGGAAACCAAGAAGCATTGGATAGCTGTTTCGTTCTACTTTGGAACTGATCTCTCTGTAGTCTGTACCCATAACTCTAGACAAAGTTCATAATATCCTGCATGATGAAGATATTTATCGTATAAAATTTATTTCCTCTGCATAGTTTGTACATAAACACCCTACAGGATGCTTCTTTTTGACGCTAAAGCCCAGCCGCTGTACAGAAAATTAACTCCTACTGACTGATGAGGGGGACTATCCTTTGATATTGTTGTATTTGCTCAGCTGGATGGCCTAATCCCGAGCACTTCATTGTTCTACTGGACAACATATTCAGTGTTAACTTTGGAACAAAATTCCCATCCGATAAGACAGTGGAAACTTGACAATTAAATTATCCAGCTCAGGGAATAAGCAACACTAAAAACCATTCATCTGAGTAACGAATCGTTCACCATTATTTCTTAAATTCGACTACATTAAATTTGACCGCATTCCTACAGCATAATCACGATAAAAAGTGTTACTCTAATGTTAATCGGTGGATGGTGACTAGCAGTGGAATCCACGATGTGCATTTCGTCCTATTTGGTTTCGTCAACTGGATGTGCCTGCATTCCCCACCGAGGTTCGAACCCAGTGCCCATAGTTTCAAACGTCAAAGCGTTATCCACTAGACGACTTGAGCCACAAGAACCACCTCTTGTGCAACGGGTCATATTAATTAATCACCATCCACCAGTTAACCTCTAATTACATGCCCAGACATCGTCGAAGCATCTGCACAAGAAGCCGACATGTCAACCTGAGACCAAGCACTTCGATCCCGTCAATCAATCGATGGGGAATTCTAAACTTCAATTAAATAGTTACTCTAATGTATTTAACCCCCCCCCCATAATTTTATCTGATTAAATTCATAACAACTTAATTTCGTGCTTCTTTTTGTAAACAAAACTCTTAAATCTTCGGCTTTTTTATGTGTATTAGAAGAAAAAGGGTCCACATTTTCGATCTTCATCAGGGAATTGAGTGAGTACTACTGAAAAGTGGCAGAACTATCAAGAAACAGCTGTCCAGCACATCACAACATTCAATAATCCTCTAATTAATG